TTAAATTCCCTAAAGCGTTTGAGGTTTTGTTATATTTGAAAATTAAATTTCCTCATTAAAACTGATATAACTGTGTAAATAATTTTCTATTCTCAAGTACTTAAAATAATCTTATCTTGAAAATGTCACAACCGGAAAAATTTTCTTTAGTCGTTTCAAGGCTTATGCAATAAGATTTTATAAATATTGCAATTACGGAAATGTATAGGTATCTAAGCTATACGATAAAAGATTGTTTTAAAAACATACCGAATTAATATTGGTTCTTAGATTTATGCAGTAGACATTCATGAGGTAAATAATTATAATAATTTAAATTTTAAATTCTCGTGGCACAATGTTCGTTGCCATACTCCTCCGAAACGGCTCGACCGATTCTTATGAATTTTTTTAATGCATATTCAGTAAGTCTGAGAATCGGCTACTATCTATATTTTTCAAGCCCCTAAATTTTTAGCTGTATTATTTAGATATTTTTTTTTATGATACAACATACAAAAATACATAGGTACTACCCTTAATTATTACCCCTCTACGATCAACCCCTATTTTTTATTTCTTAATTAAAATCTTATAACTTGAACTCTGAGGTTTATACGAGTATAGAAAAATTCACAGAAATCCTCAAAAAGTGTTAACCGAAGTGAAAACCGAACAGTCTCTGGGGTACCATAGTAAAATGTTCCATGTTGGTATGTAATAAAATGGTAGGCTAAGTAAAATCACATTAAGGAGAAACGAAGTTCGCGGGGGCAGCTACTAATAATATATTTATGCTTATTTCTTGTTAGTTATTTTTGCTTGCAAAACATACCCAAACCAGTTTGTAACGGAAGGGACTTGAGCTACTTTGGGACCTGAATGTGCGAGTGCCATAAGCACCGGAATGATTCCTAAAGTAGTATTCAGAGTCGAGATTTAGTGCTATGTATTTTCTTGAATCCTATACATGCCCTAACCCTGAGTTAGTGATGCGTAAAGGCAGTTTCCATCTCGTACACGCCAGTCACTCCCACCCGTTTCGGTTAGAATTCCCCAAATTATGTCTAGACATGCGTAGTTGTTCCCCTTTTACTAATATTACATATTGTCTTTACTTTACGAGAGTACTACAATTAATAAAAACTTATTTGTACGCGAATTCACTACATACATATAAATAAAAATTAATCCCAAAATATGTTGCTAAGCTCAAAAGTCGGCTTGACCTATTCGAATAAATCCTTTTTTCTTGAACTCGGAGAAAGGTTTTATTGGCGTAGGAAATATTGTAAAAAAACAGTTATTTTTCTGTAATTGTGAACGCCACTCAATAAGCAACTTGAACGCATCCGTAATTTCGTTGTTTCTTTTGTGTTGACTGTTGACGCATGTGATTTCACCATTTTACTACCTAAAGTTTAATTAAAAATTTCGCTTCCTCAGTTTGTGCATTTACTGTGTGCTTTATTAAGAAAAAGCGTACAATCTCTATGCTACCCATAGCAAAACATTCCTTATGTAGCCACTAAAAAGGTAGGCTAAGTATAAAAATCATATGAAGACGAAACGAAGTTCTCGGGGGCAGCTATTTATTATTTTCGACATGCGCCGCCTTTCAGCAGTATCTGTTACTTGAATTTTCTTAAATTATATATTATTTAAATACTTATTATTATAAATATTATTCTAATCTTGTCCTTTGTCCTTTATAAGTCTTAACGTGACCTGTTTATCATGAAAGACTTGGACTTACTGCCCTTTAGGATTAGCCTTGTTTATAACAATGAAGGTAAACATTCAATGTTAGAAACAAGGCCTCTTTCTTGAAGATCTTTTTAATATAGCATGGTTTATCATAAAAAAAGAAGAAAATCAATAGGTTACAGATCAGTGAATATTGAGTCACCTAGTAACCAATATAAAAAATAAAGAAATCAGTGGCGCTACAACCTCTTTAGGTCTTGGCCTCAGATTTTTGAATCGGTTTCATGATCATTTTTAAATCTAATAGACAAGTGATTAGCCTCCAGTGCCTGACACACGCCGTGGACTTTTTAGGTCTAAGACATGTCGGTTTCCTCACATTCCTTCACCGTTCGAGCAAATGTTAAATGCGCACATAGAAAGAAACTCCATTGCACAGCCGGGGATCGAACCTACGACCTCAGGTATGAGAGTCGCACGCTGAAGCCACTAGGTCAACACTGCTTAGTTATCAATATCATATATATATATTTTGGTGTCAATATATCAAGCACTTATCGGCTTTGATAATTTTGACAATCGGATAATTTTACTACCGTTGAACACGGTACATAATCTTGATTGGGTTGAGTTGTTGAGTATTTCTTGAAAGCACGTAATGATAGAAAATTATTTTAATTTTATTTATTTTACCAAATAAGTTGCCATTACAGGACAACCCAATCTGGCATTAACACTTATATTACATACAAATGAATACAGAAAAAAGAAACAGCAAAATGTTAACCGTTAACGATAAAAATGTTTACAAAATACCTAACTAGTTCTAGCACTACAGGAACTGACATATATCAAACCTTTTGTCGGTTCACTAATAATAATAAAGTCCGTTCAAATATTAAGTTCGTTTAGTATATTGATCCATTGTGCAATATGTGCTCTTTTAAAAGATTTAGTAAGTTTAGGTTTACTTTCACACCAATTGACCTAGTCCCATGCTAAGCTGGTGAAGCTTGTGTTATGGGTACTAGGCAATGGAATACATACATTTTATAGATAGATAGACATATAAATACATATTTAAACACCCAAGACCTAAGCACAACATCAAATGCTCATCACATCGATGTTCGTCTCAGCCGGGGATCGAACCCGGGACCCATGGTTTCGCAGTCAGGGGTGCTAACCACTAGACCAATGAGTCGTCAAATTTATTCTTCCGAGAAGTGCTACTAACCCCTTCTTAAAGCGCTCTTACCAGTGGCACTACAACCATTTAGGCCTCAGATTGCTGTGTCTGTTTCGTGAACATTTTGTTTTTTTTTAAGTAGGTGGTCAGATTTCTCTGGCTTTTAACATTTAAAAGGACTGGACTGGAAAGTATAGTCTTGTCGCTGTTGTGACTAGCAGGTAGCTAGGTGGATGGTCGAAGAGCATTCACATTTTTCGTTTTAAAGGCAAAAACTTGATATTTTTAAACCGTTGTTTGAGTCACGGAGTTTAACTATTATATTTTGTTTTTATTTATTTCTAGCCTTATATCAGAAATACAAAATATACATTATAACTATTGTTTTTCTTAATCTACGATAATTCCTCCCCCATTGTCCTAAATTTGTCTTTATTGTATACCAATCTCCTTATAAATATAATACTGTACAAAATGAAACATTTTATTAAAAAATCACTCAACTTTCTTTGTGCTCATTGATATCTTTCGGCCATTCAACATACCTTCAACCAAATCGAATAAATAGTCGTGATTTTATGAACATCCGTTCAGTTAATTTGAAGAGTACTTATCCGCCTACTCATATTGTACGTCATAATATCGTTTAGGGCAATTGAAATGAACAGATTTGTAATAAAGAACATTCTAAAATATCCGACTCCTATTGATGTGACTTTGTACATTTCTTGAAGTAATAATGTTAACGTACGACGAACACGCTTTCGATTTATAGCGAAACAACAGTAGTTTCGGGTTTGTAGAAACATTAGACTGATCACTTACGCATCTTAATAAATATCAATGAAAACACGGGGAAATGTTACTGTTTCTCCACTGGGAGGTATGGGGCAGACATACTGCGTCTGTTAAACGTATGGGACTTCAAACACAATTAACTAAAATACTATAGAAAATATTTCACGCCTACACCAAATAATTACGCAAAGTGTTGGGTACAAACACATTAGTAAGACAGAAAGTTTCAATTATCTCCTTAAAGAGATGGAGCTGTATATGGTATAGTTAACTTTTACTATACAAACACATAGAAGTTTGCAAGTATACAACCGGAAGCTTTCTCCACCGGAACTTTCTTTTGTTCAATATGTCATGGTATTGTATACAAAGTGCCCATCATGTTAACCCAGTTTTGTTACAGCACCCGATAAAATGCATTGACACGTGTGATAAATTTTCACGTGGTCATGCGTAATAGGCCATGTGACAAGTATAGTTCAATAAAACGTCATGATCGTAGAACAATTATATATATATATACATATATAAATATATAGATATATATTTATATATATGATATATATATATATATATATATATATACTACATTGACTAAATATTACGGCTACATTTAAAAAAAATCCATGTCTTTTAAATTTCAAATTAATGAGTCGGTAAAGTGGAACGTGAAACAGATTTGATATAAACATGTGATTTTTCTAGAAAACTGTGTAATTGAATGTTGTTATTTTTATTTTTATTCAAAACAAACCCTTTTGTTTGCTTGTATTCCAATTTTCATAATAACAGAATATGAATTAAAAAGTTATGACAAAAAACGAACATGATTATATTATTGTGAAATGGCTGCCCTGTAAAGTTTACTATTTGTCAGATCCCTCACTATTCTACGATTATGACGAAAATATCCGCAGAGGAAAGATTTGTTACTTTGTTTATTAAATATACATAAATACGAGCTTTAATGTTCTGCTAACAGCTGTATTCTAAAAGTTCCATACAACAGTTTCTCTTATTTTAAGACTGCAAAGTAATCTTTCAAATCTCTTCTCACGTTATTGTTCCATCTTCTATGCCTAGGTATGTTACTGAACTCAATATGATGATTCACCTTTACTTATGATATTGTAATTTCTTTATTAAGAATTGTAATTTTACTAACACTGTTTCATGTTTATTTCACATTCTTGTCTCTACGTCTGAAAAAGACAGAGAGAGATGGTTGGTTGGTTCGATAACGAACCATTGCCTTCCTAAGTTTTTGATTGTATTCATTATTATTATGCAAATAAGTATCAAATAAATATTCCTTTCAGCCGATGGCATGACCTACTCGTTTGGCGTGTTCTATGCAGAATTCCTGACCTACTTCAACGAGGGCAAAGGCAAGACTGCGTGGATCGTGTCTATCCTTGTCGGGGTCACCCTTAGCTCAGGTTAGTTTTTATAGCTACATAATTATAGTATTTAGCATACTATTTTTTATATATAGAACAGGGTGCAAAGGGGCAGAAGGCTCACCTCATGTTAAGTGATACCGCCGGTCCATGGACACTCTCAATGCTAGAGGACTCGCGAGTGCGTTATCGGCATTTTATTTTGTTATACGCAATGCTTTGCACTATGTGGGTTGTTTTTATTAACCATTGTAAGTTTTTCGAGGACTTATCATTCGTATCTCAAATTAGATTGTAGTATTGCTTTTACATACATAAAAAATAAATTAAATTTAACATGCTAATTCGTTGAATTTATAACCTCTAGACGTACGAAAAATATTATTACTTAACTTAAAGAAGCGTTACTGAATATTTAATTATGTTTAGCATACAAATTCTGAGAGAGCCAGTAATAACATATTATTTATATCAAAGTTGTTTAACTTAAAGTAGCATCACACCAAAAACCCGTTTTTTAAACCTAATTTAACGTTATTTAAAATTTTTACAAAGAACAAAACAAAGCGATACCGATTCTTATTTATTAAATTATCTTAAGATCTTCTCTTATTAAAGCGAATTCAGAAAGGTGCTATATATACTATATATAATATATGTCGGAAAAATATTGCCTTCTTCGATAGCTACGTCATTAGTGGGTTTAGTGGGCGTCATGTGGGTAAAGTGCGAGCACAAAAGACACGAATATAGATTGTACAATATTTAATTTTAAGTTGTTTCCTTTTAACACTTCAAACGGCAGTTTATTTATTTATACTTTATTACCTTAATCAAAAACATACACATAACAAAAATAAAAAAACAGGTTACAAAAGTTATAAGGCAACGGGCGGCCTTATCGCTAACAAGCGATTTCTTCCAGGCAACCCTAAAGTGGAACAATGAAAAAGAAACACCTACAGATTTCGGGCAGTTTAGCCTAAATTAAGATAAGCAGCGGGTTGAAGGCACCAATCTTACTAACAAGCACAAATCTTTTAGACCCAACTCGGTCCAACCTCTATTCACCACCATGCTTTACCGAAATCCTCAAAAAGAACTCTGTCCCGTTCCCCCGAACGCACTGTCATAAGTCAAGATGGCGCCTCGACTCCACGGATTGATACAACCAATACGAACAATAGTCGTACTTTTATTCGTTAAGTTATTATTTTAAACTAGGAAACAATAAAGTAATAACAAAACAATTCAAATCAAATTAAATAATGAATCTTAAAAGTAATAAAAACAAAATCTCAATGATCAGCTAAAGTAGGAAAAAATACAACGGTAAATTGACACGATCAGAACGTTTCCTTATAATCGAAGCATTCCCTGACATATGTTTATGTATTTTCTCAATATTGTACTTAAGAAGAGCCTAGAAATTATTATGATTCATGAAACTTACTTTAAACATTAGGTAACCTAGTAATTGTATCATTCTACTTTGTTACTTGCTATACAATTTTTTCAATTTAGTTATGTACTTGCACTTCTCCCTTAAGATGTATTTCTATTTCCTTTAGGAAACTTTTTTACTATTTTCTTACTTAAATAAGGGTTGTCTGGTATTTATCGCTTGTAAGCGATGAGGCCGTTGTTTCCCTCATCATTTTTGTTACCTGGTTTTATATGTACTACTACTATTAATGCAACGAAGTGTTATCAAATAAATATTCTATACTACATATATTTGTTACTAATTTCAGGTCCAATTTCAAGTTCCTTCGTTAACCGTTGGGGATGTCGAACAGTCACCGTAGCTGGAGCGTTACTCTCTGCTGTATGCGTGGTCCTGTCGGCATTGGCCAACAATGTAAATACTCTTATCATCACGATTGGCGTAGGCACAGGTGTTGGTTTTGGTCTGATCTACCTGCCAGCAATTGTCAGCGTTACTGTGTGGTTCGAAAGATACAGAAGTCTTGCCACAGGTATGTTAATTTTTGTACTGAATTATTTTATATCCATTTTAGAAATTATGATACGTCTATTCTGGGTATGCCAGTATTGTAAACTACTAATCATATAATAGAACCGGAAATCCTACAAAAAAATGTAAGTATGTCCGCTTAGGTTACTGGAAAACAAACACTTACTAAAAATCAGGACATCATTGAAGTCCACAGGTCCGTTGTCAAGACCTAAGATATCGTAATTTGCGCATATTAATAAAAGAATATAATCATAAAGAATGGTCTTTATGACTACAATAAAATATATTTAAGGCACATAAAATAAAGTCTAAATAATGAATTGTTATTTTCCATTAAACAACAAATTAATTTTTACAGGCATCGCCGTGTGTGGATCGGGACTAGGAACATTCCTATTCGCCCCGATAACCTCCGCCCTCATATCGAACTATGGCTGGAGAGGCGCAATGGCTATCATTGGAGCATTAATCCTTAACTGCATCCCGCTGGGACTTATGTTCCGGCCCGTTCCTGAAAGACCAAGGACACCTGTCACAGAACCAATGCTACCAAAAGTAGACAATAACAATAAGAAGAAACTCCAAAGATCTCAAAGTATAGAACATTTCCTACGTGTAAATGGAAAAGATGATGTAGCGAGACTAACTCTCTCTCAACCCGCTTTAAATAAGCATCAAGAACAGAAAATGGGCTCTCGTCATGGTAGCGGAATTATGCAAAGACCTGACGTCTTATACCAAGGTAGCATGACCAGTATATCAAGATATAGAGCTGCTTCTATTGATAGAAAGATGACAAAAGAGGAGGAACAAGAAGAAAAGTGTGCATGGCTGCCCTGCTCAAGAGAATTCAAAGTAGCGTTATCAGAAATGCTCGATGTTTCTCTGCTGGTAGATCCTGTTTTCCTATTATTTTCTGTATCAAATTTTCTAACTAGTATTGGATTTTATATTCCATATGTGTATACTGTGCCCATGAGCGAGAAACTTGGCATTGAAAATCCACCTTACTTGATCTCCATTATTGGTGCCTCTAATTTGGTGGGAAGAATCATTCTTGGATACATCAGCGATAAGCCCTGGGTGAATCGCCTGTTGGCTTACAATATATGCCTGACGATTGCTGGAATAAGTAAGTTAATAAATCCTAAAATAACTTTTTTGTAAATCAATCATTTTATTTATTTATTTATTTACAAAAGCTTGCCAACGCTCGGCACACTGATACATTGCTAAGCACTTATAATAGGCAAACATTACAAACACGAAGAGAAAAAAAAATGTCGATTCATTAATTATAAATCTAAAGGAAAATTTATTTCAAAGTGTGCAACGCAACTATGGATATCCAGACCTAGATCGTTTATCAGAATGCTGAATAAACTAGCTAGGTCTGTAAAGTCAAAGTCAAAACAACTTTATTCATATAGGTAAACAAGTACATTTATGAACGTCAGAAAAGAAGTTAAATTATTTCTAAATTTACATTTACTACAGTTCGCAGTCAAGGGCGAAGAGCGGGCAAAAAGAATTGGCAAGAAACTTTCCGCCACTCTTTTTAATCGCTAAGTTTTGAGTCATACAAATTGTTTGAACTGGAACAAATCAATCCCAAGGTTTAGGATCATTAAAATATTCGTCAAATTTATAAAAAGCTTTATTATTATTGTATATCCATTGTTGCTCCCCCTCATCCCATTGCTAATTTTTAATCTGGTCGACGGTCGTCGGGCAATTTTCGCTCCTTTGTTGACATTTTTTTATATTAAAAAATAATGATACATCAATAAAGAACTTTATTAGCTTCATCAATTACTATTACCCAATTTACCTACGGATTGGTTATTTCAGGTACTGCTGCAGCAATGTTTTGTTGGGAATTTTGGGGCCTAGCGATGTATGCAACAGCATTCGGTTTCACTATTGGTGCTTACGTTGGCTTAACATCAGTGGTGCTAGTCGATCTCCTGGGACTAGAGAAGTTGACCAATGCCTTTGGATTGCTTCTACTATTTCAAGGAATCGCTTCTCTTATTGGACCGCCCTTTGCAGGTAATTATTTTGCTACAATTATTCTTCTTACTCGTAAAACACGCTCTTCACAATTCAAGCGATAAGTTTGGAATGATGCGCCTTAAATACCTGTTTGTTAAGGTTAAGTGTGTCAGGTATTCATCATTTGTCATACTAGTCTACTTGCAGTATAATAAAAAAATTGCAGTCAAACTTTTTAGACTTTTCCAAAGCCCCATAGACTATAAAGTACTCAATGTACGGTTTCTTTGATTCTTTAATAAATATAAAATTCGTAAATTCCAGGATGGCTTTACGATACGTATCAGTCCTACTCGCCAGGATTCTACGTCGCTGGCGGAACTATCTCTCTGAGCGGCATTATCCTATTTCTCATTCCTGTCTTCGAAAGAAGAAATAACAGGTGGAAGAATCAGGAAATGGTGCTGGAGCAAATTTAGCAGGACATGTTCCGAGGGGCGAAGTACGAGTGTCCAATTATCGTGCTCCACAGTCCCTCAACGTCCTCAATCACTTCTTCAGGGGACACCTATTCCAACAGGGTATATACAACTAATATAGATGAAGATTTAGAACCAAAGTGTATAAAGTGTGACTATTTGGATCAAGCTCATTCCAAAGATTGTGTGTGTGAATTAGTGAGTGATATGGAGTATGTTTAATTAATAAGAGGACTTCAACAAATTGAACTTCTTACGAGCTATAGACTTGTATTGCTATATGTCTTAAAACGGCAAATAAATGATTACTTCTATAAAATTCTACCGTACGGAAACCGAAAATATAGTTACATTTTTTTTATTATTTTGGAGTTCTTAAACCGTAAAATTTTATATATTAGAAAGTATTAAAATATTTGCCTGATTAAACTATATGCGCAATATTCTATAGTCGGAGTGTTAAAACTAGGGATGCATCGATACGCTTTTTTGCCGATACGATACCGATGCCGATACTCTTATAGGAATATCGTCGATACCGATACCGATACCAACGCTTATTGAATTAAAATTAAATTAAGGTAAAATATATCAAGTAAAGTTAAAGTTTATAATTTTTCTTAAAAAAATATATATAAAAATAGTCACAAACTTTGAATAATTTTAAAGGTTTTGTTACTAAAATTAAGAATTAAGAGTAATAATTAAATTAAAATAAAATAAATAACTACTAATCAATTCAACAAGAGTTTTTCGTACTAACTACTAACTGACGTGATACTGATCTTAAATTATTGTGATTCGTGTGCACTTTTTATTTTTCAAGTAGCCTTTTTTTAGTTTATATGTAATATATATTTTTGCCCTCCTTTTCATTTAATTATGTTCAATTTTTATATTGTAATGCAACAAAGTGTTAATAAATAAATAGTGTTTAGCGAAATGAAATACATATATATATACATAAATGATAATGCTTTGTCCCCAAGCGAATGATAGAGACAACAAACTGAATAAAACGCGGGGATTTCTCGGGGAAACAATAGTCCGTGGCTCGTTTGCAACAAACGAGATCATACAAAATGCGCGTTTATATTATTTTTTTAAAGCGTGAAATTTGAAAAGTATCGGTGAATCGGCAATGAAAATATCGCCGATGCCGATATATCGGCAAACCCAACGTATCGCCGATATATCGGCATCGGCATCGATATCGGATGCATCCCTAGTTAAAACTAAATCTTGGCTTCATTCTTGTCATAATTTATTGTTTTCATATTACAAAATTTTATATCAAATTAGTGCCATATCCTCTCATCCGATAAATACTAGGTACATAATTGCTTTTAAATAAGTTATTTCAGACATTAATAAATATGTCCGGTTCAATTAAATTGGCACAAGCATTTGAAATTAAATATCTCGAATAAAATTATAATCATAAAAGTATCTTGCTTCTACAATAACATGTATTGTTTAAGTATATAATTAAGTGCCATCCACGAAGACGTCTTAAGGTAGAACCAATTTAATAAATCATACTTGACACCTCATCAAAATTCAATAATGTGACCTTTTTTCGAAGTTAGAACGGCACAATTGCTTAACTGTTTTCAATTCAATTTACATATTAATTGTAATTGTAACAATAGAAGGTAATTTTACGATTTAGTTCCACTAAGAAACTATTCTAGACATAATTCTAGTTCTATTTTAAATAGTGAATTGAACATGGTAATAATGCCAGGACAGTATCGTGTTCTTCTGTTTACTTATAATAATACTAACCAGTATTCAACTACTAGAAAAATGTAATGTTTTTTCCGTTTCACACTTATAGAATATAAAAAGGTGACAAAGCTATTAAACAATACAAGCTTAATTTTTCATATTTTGGCCGGATTGTGCGTGGCAAGAATACGCGTGTACGTTTATGTGGGGTTGTTTTAAAGGGGGTTAAGTAGGGCAAAACCGTTAAAAACTACTTTTTTGTAAAATTACAACTAGGAAATCAAGTGCCACACGTCTTCGTAGATAGCAACACTTATTGGCAACATTTATTTAATTAATTTTTAAGTATGGCAATTAGCAGAACAATAATGTATTCAAGTTACATAATAATAGATGGCCTTATTGTGGACCAAACGAAGCTTAGATTTTACTATAATATACTTTAAAAATAAGCTACTACTTTTGTATATACAAAATACATCCTGTATTATATGATTTATTTTAAAATTAATAATGTCTAGTACAAATTGTCATATGATTTTGACTGATTCAATAACTTACAGTTACCTGAGTATAGTTACCGTTATAAAGTATTTGTTTTTTATTTATTCAAATTTTAGAGCAGTGTTGGCCTAGTGGCTTCAGCGTGCGACTCTCATACCAGAGGTTGTAGGTTCGATCCCCGGCTGTGCACCAATGGACTTTCTTTCTATGTGCGCATTTAACATTTGCTCGAACGGTGAAGAAAAACATCGTGAGGAAACCGACATGTCTTAGACCCAAAAGTTGACGGCATGTGTCAGGCACTGAAGGCTGATCACCTACTTGCCTATTAGATTTAAAAATGATCATGAAACAGATTCAGAAATCTGAGGCCAAGACCTAAAGAGGTTTTAGCGCCGCTGATTTATTTTTTTATTTTTTATTTATTCAAATTCCAATAACCAAATCCTTCAGGCTTACCCTGTTACTTCGGTATTCAGATTTCAACATAAAATATTCGTGGGCATTGAAATTTGGTTTTCTTGTTAAATGAGGGTACTTTTTTTAGGTGTCATCGTGAAAATGGGAAGAAATTCACATTATGTGGGAATATGCAGTAAAACAAAATACACCATAATAATTATTTAATTAATATAATTAGTAATGATACGAGTAATAAAATTTAAATAATGATAATACAAGCCATACTTTTACAATTTGGAACTATTAAATGAATATCCTTTAAAAAAATATATAATGATACGAATATAAAAAAAAATAAAAGATGGTATAGGGTATTCTCGCCTTTACACAAAGTTAAATTGTTAAACAATTTTAATTATATTTTCTTTTTCTCTCTCGGAGCCATCTTGTATTGAATCACCGTCTGGCGAATACCTTCATCGATCATGAATAGAGAGAGTGAAGTTGCAGCCGGGGCAATCTAGTCGGTTATTCGTTTTATAGTTAACAAACTTTTATAATAGTAAATATTTTGCAATAACCACCTCAATGGTAGTGAAACGCTAAACAACCCAGCCAACGTTTGTTTCTGACAAAACAATAATTGTTTAAGTTAGTCAAGTATTACTTTAAAAAGTAATAAATGCAAAGACCGGGTAATATATATCTTTATATCTATTAAACAAACAAATTCGAATGGCAGGAAAAAACTTTTTATGACCTCAAATAAAAATAGTGTGTGGAGTCCCTCCGCGCGGAAGAAGTGAAATTTCGTAATGTGGAAATGAAAATAAGAAGCATTCACTATCGTTCTGTCTCTTTCTAATCCCCCTACCCAGAAGCGTTAAACGTTTAACGCAACCTTGTTGGAAGTTGCATTAGAAGATTCACTTTAACAATTACAATTAGATTTCTATTTTTACTTTCCATTGTAACCCCTCCGTTCGTATTATCTAAACCCTTAGTATGTTAAATAAGTAAAACAGAATAAATTAGAGAAACCATAGATTTTTGTGATAAAATGGATGCGTGTGTTTCAGCTATAAAAACCTCAATGTCATGAAGTTCGTTACGGCCTTCATGCTTGTATTTGGTACTACTTCCCCCAATACTTACAGAATTAATCCAAAATGCCCACTGAATTACCCACGCTGATGGAATAAATTCAGATCCGAGGAAACTGTAGAAAACTACGAAGCCTCGTATCATCGTAATAGGGCACCAACACAGCAAATTTACTATTGTTATTATAAGAACACTCTGCAAACATATTTTATATATATACATTATACATATTTATATTAGTTAGTAGAACTGTTAATATTTCTTTAGAAATTATTAAATACACCTAAAATTTGGTATAAAAATATTACTTTATAACCATTGATTTTTATTTTAATAACTTAAAGAAACATTTGATTAATATTCAGGCCAGCTATATATCCAGTTTTATAAACCTTTTTTTAATATACTTTTTTTTTTTTTATAAAGATAACCCGTTAAATAATTAATTAAACAATTCATTTTGTGCGCCGCAATCATAGTTCAAGGAAAATAGCAACAAAAAATTATAAATCTATAGAATTTCTTAAGATCGCAATCCTTTTCGAAAATGACGACAAACCGTATTCGTTGTGAACTTGTCTTAATTTCCACGAACATTTAAGAAGTCTGTTTTAATAGGAAAATAAGATAATTTTACCTTCGTGAAAGGTGCTTGCTCTATCATTTTTTTGGTTTTATTTATTAATCCCAATTTCCGAGCCCAGTATAGCATGACGATCCTAAAATGTAATGAAAGTTAGAACAACTCGAAAAATATGGAATAATAGTGCTATTTAAGGATTTATCATCTACATTCTCCATGATGGTCAAAATCAGTAAAGAGTTTAAAGTTGCTTTCGTATTTATCATACTTTGTAATTGTGTTGGGATGCGCGTGACCCTATATGTGTAATATGTATATAACCTGAATGTACCTCAATATCCTAGAACTAATAAAGATTCAAGAGAATATAAGATATTGCCCCTTTGAAAGGAATCTTTGAAATTCAAAAATGAATTCTCACTTTTTCACGAATGTAAATTTCATAGCAATCCTACTTTACAGGAGAAAAACTTGTTTAATTATCACAATTTCAAAATAATTTTCATTAATGTTAAAGTTTTATAAAACGTAGTGTTAGATGCGTTGTTTTAATGATGATTCTTAAATCATGGCGTGGGGAAAGGGAAGATTTTATAAAAATTAATAAAAATAGTACAAAACAATACTTACATAAAAAATGCTGATTTAAAACTCCGAAGCAAATAAATCGAAACGACAATATATTTATGCCATGAATTTGGTAAAACCATATCAAACACACAAGAATCGCATGTAAAATCCAACTCATAGCTTCCTATTCCAAATAGAGGTGGAACTGAGTATAACAAAGCGAATAGGACACATAGTCCTTGGTACATAGTATAATGCCATCTTATCAGGGGCCACTCTGAAAATGAAAAAAAACCAGGGAAATATATCTAACTATAGATACTATATAGGGTATCATAACTAACCTTGTAGTGTTATAGTTTTACAATGTAATCAATTTTTATTAACAAATTTTAAACATTGTTATAATAATAATAAAACACAATAATTCCAAGATCTATAGTGGAGTCAAAACTTATGAAAGATAATACAAATTAGAAGACATACATAGAGTAGTAAATGGAGGTTCAGAAAATACTTCGGAACAAATACCTCAGAATCTAAAACTTCACTGAGGCAAATAATCAAATTATTCTTTGTAATAAGTATAACTTTTACCGTTATTAATGTATTTCGCAACAACATAACGTTCAATGCAAACATGCGTGAGACATTCCACTTCATATACAGACAGAAAAGTGTTCCAAAATCCATTGAAAGTACAGGAATCGTTGATATCTGGTGAACTGAAAAGAAAAAATATTGTCAGAGAATTGGCGTTTAGAGCCACATATTTAAAAATATCATTATATTCCATTAATAAATATTCTGGGTGCGAAATGAAAATGAAACAGACACTTGAAAATTACAAAAGGTAATGGTACTTTTTAAGATGGGGCTTGGGACAGAGACTTTTCTAACTTGATCATTTGTCTTTATTAACATTATTACTTTGTCGGGAATCCTTCAGAATAAGTACACACTAAGTATACAAGTATGTAAGTGAGAGACTAGATATGCATACTTTACAAATTACATGAAATTGCAAGTTTCAACATATAGTTCATCACTGACATCTTATATTTTTTGGTTAAATTAACTCGTTGAATTTTAACCGCATTATTAATTTGAACGTTTCTCGTGCCTTGAAGATGAAATTGTAGGCTAATTTTCGTCTATAAAACTATCATAGTACGTAGTATTTATTGTTCAATTAAAAGTATAGGTATGAGGGTGAAATTGTAGCATATAGGAGTACAAAAAACTGTTTCTTACCTTTCTGAATACGCTAACTTGGCAAAAGGCAAACGACGAAGACAAGTAATAATAGTGAAGAACGCCAAATTTCGATAGCTCAAATCGTATTTTAGATTCGTTAACAGGATAGATAGGTTCAAGCACACACTAAATAGAGCAGACGTCGTCTCTGAAAATAGATATAGTTTTGTTCGATTTATAGACCATTAATCAGAGCGTCCGTTACATCAATTCTAGCAAGAATTAGAACCCAATCTGTCTCTACAAATAACTGGGCCTGTTTTATGCTCACAAGTGAATAAAGAAGGAAGTGAAAGAATTGATATCTAGGACCCATCGACTCTTTTGCTTTTCTTCATACCATTATGTCATTAAATTTACAGCGCCTAAACTAAAGTTTTCATCTCTCTCTGTGAAACTATGTTTACGATGTGATGAAAAGAGACAATGCTATAGTTGAAATTGTGTAATATGACTACTTTAATGAATAAGGGAGGTCGAGAATGGTTATTTCTTACATCGTCTGCAATATACGCCTTTTCTATGACCTTATCAAGCACAAAATTAATAAAATTTAAGTTCTTAAAGCGTAACATTGAAAATCTCTTTCTCTTTCTCTCTCACTCTGAATTAAGAAAAAAATGAGTCTGTCTTTTCTAATTATTTTCTAATATTTAACTAAGTATCAAGCACAATAACCTTATAAATCTTTATACTGGTATTTCTAATAAATCGTCATAATTTTTAAATCTTTATAAATTGTCTATGTTTTTTAGGTTATTCTGATATATAAGCTATATTGTATAAAGTTTCATTAAAATCGTAGTAGTAGTTTATACGTGAAAGAGTAACATACATCCATCCATACTTACAAACTTTCGCGTTCATAATATTAGTAGGATGCACTGGTAGTAATAAATTTATTCCTAAATGAAAATTGTAGATACTTTTATCGCTTCTGGTATTTAAAGTAAATAAAATATGTCTTTCACGATACATCATTTGGACAAATATAACATATTTTAATCCTGCGCAGACGAAGTCTCGAGCACCGGCTAGTTAACCATATTTATATGCATTGCAAGGATACTCTTAACATAAATACAATATTAAAAAATGTATAGTTATTCCTTTATAAACTAATATAAAAACATTACCTGTAAAAATCAACCCATCTCTTAAAATACCCCGATCTTCGTCCGTAAATATCTCACTCCAAGCACAAAGTTCCATTTTATGTTTATTCTCATAAATACACCGGTCGACTGAAGTCAATATCTGCAAACCAAGGATAATATCTTGGATATATTATTAATAATACAAATATCAAATTACATCACGTACCTTCATCTGGTTTGTTTACGCTCTGTTTCCTAATCCACCACATTGTTATATTAAAACCGCATTGTACTCTTGTTTGACTCTATACACAAAGTAGGAGTTAACCAGCCCTACTCAGAATCGTTCATTAATAATTAGTTAGTTACTTGTGATTAAAGTACGGTGTGACAATTTAAAAGCTTGACGCCTTTGCTTACTTATTAATTGTAATGAACGAAGTTTTTTAAAACTACGTATATAACTGGTCCCTTCGGCAGAGTTGTTTTGGTGGCTGCTTTTCGTCGCTAAATATATCAGATATAGGTTCCCGGTCCATAAGGTTATATCGTGCCGCAGTGCTTTAGACTAATAAGACGTTTTAAAACCTATGACACTTTTGGTTAAGACAGAATCAAGTTAGGGCTAAAGATCTTTTAAAATTCCAAGAATTTTTTAAGTTATATTTACTTATACTTATACGTTTTTGTTATAGATTTTGTAGTTATTTTTCTTATACTTATACGTTTTTATTTTGTAAATATTTTTTTTAATAAGTGTTTTTGGCGTCTTCCACGGAATTCACCTCATTTATAAAACTTAATAAGTCTTATGAAACCGTTTTATTATAACTATTTAAGCAACAAAAAGTAACAAAAACTCAAGTAATAAGACTAAGTTGTAACAAATAATGTTAAGGACAATATTGTACAATATAATCACTGTTTATTTAAAAATTAAAACTATACAGATAATATCATTATATTTACATACAAATTCATAAAAGCAAACTTTTTATTCACATTCACATTCAAAATCTACGAAAACCTATTTCAAAATTCTTATAAAACCTCAATTTCAACTTCTTATTTGAAGCAAGATTGAATTGACGCTAAATGCGTAGTAGCTAGCAAATACAACTACTTACTTTATCTGCCTTGAAACAAAAGGGGTATGTTATGCTATTAACAATATTTTTTAGAAGTTTCACTCATTTTCATACATCTTAATAACTCATGACCATTACCAGCGCTAAATAAGTGACTATTATGAAACTTATTTTTAATAAGTTTTCCGATTCGCGTTGCGTTTTTATTTCACATTTCCCTTTATAAACCTTAAAGCGTCTTAAAACAAACTTGGTCCCTTCGATATCTCATCGCGTACTGAGGTGGTAGAAGGGCGTAGTTTTTGCGCATGCGTCCCAAAAGTGCTGCTCGTATCCGAGCATCCGATGACAGGTAGCTTAAGACGGGTACACAAGTTGCTGCCTATAAATTAAAGTCCTATTTCATAAATATATAATAAGCTTTATAGGCTCTTGATTTTGACGTAATCACTCGTGTGATATCAACGTAACAAAAGATACATAACGTTGCTGATGTTAGTTTGTCTTGCCTTAACATGCGTTTGTGTCCGATTAACAATATCCATAACATTTATCTAACTAATAATATTACGCAAGTATACGGGAATCGAACCCAGAACTAAAAAATAAATAAAAATACAAAATAAGTTTAAACCTGGGAATTATGTATAAATTTTTACGATTTGTAATTTTGGTGTACCGGACTATATTTATCTAAACGCAATACTGTAATACACACAAGGCTTATAATAATTTTGAAGATTTTAAATATTATTAAATCTGATTTCATCTTACCTCAGAAGTGAGGGGCGCAATCAAAGCCAAAACTGGTGGGGCATGGGGTCGATAACCGAATACAAGTAGAGGAAACCATTGAATACCAGCCAATAATGCTGCTGGGATCCATAAAGCCAAGGTTATGACGCATAGAGCGTGTATACACTAAAAATGCCAAATAGTTTATAATATAGCGAGTGTTACACTTAAAAGATACTACTAACTATCTTAGAATCTAGTAGAAGTATGTAAAGAGGATGGGAAAAGTATAAGACGTATACTCCAAGTAAACGCTTCAACGTGGTCTCGACTGCATGCTATTAATAAAACATGTAAACATGTCACACATATTACGCAATGAAAGTAAGGCTTTGACAATTGTAATTTCTCAGGTAGGGACAGCTGCCCCTACCTGCTCTGTCCTCCTGGCAACGCCCTTGATATTGTTTTGACTTAAGAAGGAGCAATTAGACTATGGAGCAATTTGTAAAAGATTACTAAATTAAGCACAGAAACGGACCCGAAAGCGAACTGAACGTGTATTCAGAGTCGAGATTCCGGCATGTATTCAAATTGGATTTGTTGTCTCTTTTAATTTACTCAGAATTATGAAATATGCGAAGCAAACAAGTTCACAAGTATCGTAATTGTTACCATGGTTACCATTTTCTAAGGAAAAATATCAGCTACCGGTACAAAGGCATATAGTACCTTGTAATATATATCGTTGCTGAACGAATCAAAAGAAAGAATGATAAATGTAAGACGTACTACCTTCGTCAAATGTTTTTCCTCTCGAAGTATTTCATTTCTGTAATATATACTTTCCAGTCGGCTTGCTTTACCCATATAATAGAATCTGTAAATGATGTATTTATGATATCACATTCGCAATTTTTGATAAACGTATATTTTATAGTACGCAGGACGGTCTGGCCGATATGGCTTAGTGGTTAACCACATACCTAAATTCACAACAATTTTTTTTCATAAAGGTTTATTATTGCACACTTAAGAAAGTCTTTTTTTACTTAGCCTATGTTTTTAGTTACTATAAGCATATGGAACATTTTGCTTTGCTATACCACAGGAACTGTTCGCTTTTCCAGAATAAACACCTAAATACAATAAATAAATTTTTTAATATATTTTTCAATTTTTTCTCTCCATAAGATCCTTCCTCAGAGTTCAAAGAAATAATTTTAAAAAATACTCGAACTGGTCCAGTCGGATTCGATTTTTGCTCTTTGCGATTCATTTTTATTTATAAATTTACTCCCACTAACCTGGGTTGATTCCAAGCAAAATAATAATTGGTGATTTTACCCAGGCCAGATTTTACTTGCTTTAGAAAACGATGCAGAGTAAACTACGAAATTAATTTTTACATTGTCTCTTACAATGTCGACAGTAAATATATACAAGCACAAAATTAATAAAAGGAATTATACCTTGTCATTTAAATTAAAAGATCAACTCAGGTACCAAATACACGCACGCTTCGATAATTAGAAAATTAAACTTACATTCCAACGACAGGTAGAACGCAGCAAAATAAAACATACGGGATCGCGTAGCCCAAATGTTTTCCACTTGCTCGTGAAGACGGCCATAAATACATACAAGCTGTTCCCGTGGTGTCGCACGAGTAGACTCCGTATCCGAATAAAGGCGGTATCGCAAATACTAAACTGTTAACCCAGGTCAAAGCAACTAAAGACCAATAATATCTAAAACATAGCCTTCTTTCTGAAACAAAACCGGAAATTGTATACTCTTTTAACACGAGATTTGGTAGACTGTGCGCGTTAACTAAAATATTAACCCTATGCTAGTGTATTTTATACATAGTTATATGTAGAGTATCTCCTTAGGTTCATAGGCAATCATAGGTTATATAAACGTAATGCAGTCTATTTATTCCAAATACAGATCACACACGACATCTGTCCTATATTGCAGGTCTCGAGAGCCGGGTTTTATTATACACTCGCCGCTAGTGGCTTGACATGGCTACACAAAATAAAGCATAAAGCCTATGTCACTCTTATGGGGATTGAAATACTGTCGAGTAGTTTTGAGTTTATTCGTTACAAATATACAAATCTTTCCTATTTATTATAGTAAAGAATTCAATTTGCGGTGTAATAGAAAAAATCCACTTTTAGAAAACTTATATGAAATTGAATGCTAACAAAGATTTATGTACACACAACGGACCTATTGAGAGTCTAAAAAAAAAGGGAAGGGAAAAAAAAGGGGGGGGGGGGGGGGGGGGGGGGGGGGGGGGGGGGGGGGGGGGGGGGGGGGGGGGGGGGGGGGGGGGGGGGGGGGGGGGGGGGGGGGGGGGGGGGGGGGGGGGGGGGGGGGGGGGGGGGGGGGGGGGGGGGGGGGGGGGGGGGGGGGGGGGGGGGGGGGGGGGGGGGGGGGGGGGGGGGGGGGGGGAGAAAAAAAAGGGGGGGGGGGGGGGGGGAAAATTATTTTTTTGATATGTTGGGGGATTTTTATATTTATGTTGGGGGGGGGAAGGGGGGGGGGGGGGGGGGGGGGGGGGGGGGGGGGGGGGGGGGGGGGGGGGGGGGGGGGGGGGGGGGGGGGGGGGGGGGGGGGGGGGGGGGGGGGGGGGGGGGGGGGGGGGGGGGGGGGGGGGGGGGGGGGGGGGGGGGGGGGGGGGGGGGGGGGGGGGGGGGGGGGGGGGGGGGGGGGGGGGGGGGGGGGGGGGGGGGGGGGGGGGGGAGAGGGGGGGGGGGAAAAAAAAAAAGAGAAAAAAAGGGGGGAGTTTTTTTGGGGGGGGGGGGGGGGGGGGGTTAAAAATATAAAAATATTTTTGTGAAAATTGGGGGGGCGTTTTTTTTTTTTTGTGTGTTTTGTGGGGGTTTTTTTTTTGGGGGGGGGTGGGGGGGGGGGGGGGGGGGGGGGGGGGGGGGGGGGGGGGGGGGGGGGGGGGGGGGGGGGGGGGGGGGGGGGGGGGGGAAAGAGGAGGGGAAAAAGAAGGGGGAAGGGGGGGAAAAAAAAAAAAAAAGGGGGGGGGGGGGAATTGGGGTTTTGGTGTTTTTTGGGGGGGGGTTTAAAAAAAAAAAGAAAAAGAAAAGGGGGGAAGGGGGGGGGGGGGGGGGGGGGGGGGGGGGGGGGGGGGGGGGGGGGGGGGGGGGGGGGGGGGGGGGGAAAAAAAAAAAAAAAAACCACCCCGGGGGCCCCGGGGAAAAGAAAAAAAAAAAAAAAAAAAAAAAAAAAAAAAAAAATTTTAAAGGTTTGGGGGGGGGGGGGGGGGGGAAAAGGAAAAAAAAAAAAAAAAAAAAAAAAAAAAAAAAAAAAAAAAGGGAGAGAGGGGGGGGGGGGGGGGGGGGTTTATATTTTTTTTTTTTTTTTTTTTTTGGGGGGGAAAAAAAAAAGGGGGGGGGGGAAAAAAAAAAGGGTTTGGGGGTTGTGGGTTTTTGGGGGGGGGGGGGGGGGGGGGGCTCCCCCCGGGGGAAAAGGGGAAAAAAAAAAAAAAGGGAAGCATCGGGGGGGAACAGGGAGAAAGGTTTTGGGGGGGGGGGGGGGGGGGAGGGGGAAGGGGGCACTATAGGTTTCACCCTAAGTGCGGAAACTGAATCCACAAACCAAGATTACGATTCCCATGTATCATACATATGTGTGCCTTAATTATAGTGTATTAAAATTAATACTTATTCACATATTATTATTTTTACAAACCTCGTCTTGTATGGCTTGCAAGTATGTATCTTTCAAGAACCAGCGAGAACAATGACGTCATTTGAAATATACCATAGAACTGGTTTAGGAAAGCAAAAAGCTGACACGCATCAGGGCCGAATAGCCATCTAGAAATAACATCTACATCGTAAATTCTATAGACGATTAATACAGTTTCAACAAAATCCAACACACAGAAAAATCACATTCAACAAAATTAGTAACTCATTTTCAGACAATGGGCAACCAGTATTACTAATAGGCATGGGGTTAGTATATTGCGCCTTCTAACAAGAGATTTTTCGGAAAAAAGTTTAAAAATGTAGTTACAAAATTAAATTTTTATTCCGGGATAAACTTTATTAACACTCCGTTCACGTTCATCCGAGATGGCCACTCGTTTCAGAGATCAAGGCTCACTTTGGGTCGATTCACCAGCGGAGTTAGTATTTTATTTATTTTAGGGTATTGATATTCATATGTCGGATTTCATTTAGCATACCTTTTTGCTAACGCAGACGAAGCCGCAAATGGGAATCCTAGTAAATTCCTCCCAAGTGAGGCTGTACAGAGATTCAGTACTAAAAGATGACTTTTTGAAGTAAGTAGGTGACTGTGCATGAAGGTGGCAAACAGCCAACTGTTGAGCAGCATCCCGAATACACCTGTTACCAGTCTTCTTATCAATTTCAAGATCAATAATTAATTTTATAATGACGCTTGTTAAATTGTTTTATAACAACAGTATCTACATCTCTTTGTCTGTGCATAGCATACATCAAATATCTCTATATATATAAAATTCTCGTGTCACAAGGTTCGTTCCCATACTTCTCCGAAACAGCTCGACCGATTCTTATGAAATTTTTTTTCTATATTCAGTTAGTCTGAGAATCGGCTACTATCTATATTTCAAACCCCTAAGTAATAAGGAGTGTCCACTTTAATTTTAATTTTTGAGATTCTTTTTTTGTTTTTTTATGATACAGCATACAAAAATACATACAAACCCTAATTTTCACCCCTCTACGATCAACCCCTATTTTTTATTATTGTAGATAGTTATTTTTATTGAACTAAACAAATGTTTCCTAGAAATACATGGCAAAACAAACGTTTGCCGGGTCAGCTAGTTATCTTATATATTTATGATTAACTCCTAACAAGTTAGTAAGTGGTAACTCCATAATGGTATATGGAAAGAAGTCTGTCACAATTACAAGAAATGTTTATCAACAAATTTTGAATTTTGTTTCTTTCCCCGATAATCACAAAAAACAATTATGACTTGTTGAGTAGGTACAATTAAATAAAACTAATATTATAGTCATTCAAAGAAATTTAGTTGTTTGTGAGGAATAAGGAAAAAATATCTTCTGAGCGTCGCGTCGCGTATTTCAGACCATTCATGGGACATTTTAACACTAAAGTGTCCATCTTTATTGCAGGTGAGCCGACTTGTTAAACATTTTGATCATCAATACTTATCATCCCCGTTTGTCACATAATATACGTGAACATATCTAAAAGACCTTGAATTGTATTTCCTACTTTCGGTTATTGGAAGGCAGTTAAAAATAGTTTGACCCATTTAAAAGTTTAAACTCACCTAGGCAAATGAGACAGGCTCCTAGCAGTGTTTTATATGAACTATCGTAGTAATACCACGGGCACTCTTCAGCATTATATTCGTATGTTATTTGCATTTCCGTATTATTATGAAAAGTCAAATTAGGCACCAGGGGTAACTCCCTAACACAGTTTTCAACAGATAAATTTCGTAACGTCCATATGGAACAGCAAGTCATAGAGACTGACCAACTTTTGTATGGGAACAATAGTAGATCATGTTACCAGGATACTAGGCAACATTTTAGAAGACTATACTTATACTACGCAATTTATGCTATGGAAAATGTAAATAGACAAAAGCTATATTTCATAAGTTTATCGCTCTGTTACTTTTTTATTAATAAACTATATAAGTTTTCTATACATATAATAGTATATAAATATAAATAATGTATGTGTTATGCGTATAGAATTTCAGAATTGGCGCGTAGATAATTTTTACCAGTCGTAATATTATACCATTCGCATTTTAAATATGTTTAACGTTGCGCTATAACTCATATTTATTTTTGTATCAATGACCGATTGCGTCTAACAATTGTTTTTCTCACGTAAGACGTCTATTTAAAAATAACAATAACTATTTTAAATTATATTATATAACCTCTCCCAGTATTTCACCCAAACTAAATTATTAAGCAAACGCACCAACGAAACGCTAACGTGAAATCGTGCTCACCTGGAAGAGTTATTTAAGTGTTAAACTAAACAGGAACTTCTCACGAAACTGGCGCACGTCAGTCATAGTTAATTACGAATAAATGTGCACATGTTTTTGGCGATGTATATCCGATCAGCGCCTATTTGTTATCAAACTAACTAGAGTTGATATTCACGGCGAGTGCGCAGTGCAGTGCCGGCACCGGGCGAGTACCGACAGGATGTTATCAATGGATCAATTGTCGCTTCTAGTACAGGACCATCTTCACGACATCCAACCTGCCAGGCATTACCACAAGTGGACTATTAAGTCGTCAGACATCGGTGGCCGCGGCCTTTTCGCCACTGAAGATATTAAGGCAGGTGAACTACTATTCGTAGACCATCCACTTGTTTACGGCCCGCGATCGGGAACTACGATCCAACAAGGATGTACTGTTTGTGGGAAAATGGACATTGATACATTGTTCCGCTGCAATAAGTGCGGCTTATTGTTATGCTCCCACCAGTGTCAGAAAAGCAATACACATTACGACGATTGTATTGTAATTTCCGGTTGGTGCAGCAAAGTCTCTATTGAAAATATAAGTGATACGTTGCTATCAAGATGCTTGGCTCCTATAAGGACGTTGTCATTACCGGAAGATCAACAAGAATTATTGAGAGCCCTCCAAGCTCATACACTTCCTCAACATGGAAGCGAAATAAAGGAATTAAAAGAGTATTTTGATTTATCATCGGAGGAAGAACATTTATTGACATTAGCCGTCTGTATTCTTGATGCAAATGCATTTCAAATAGCCGTTCCTTATGGCCGAAAGGAAATGAGTATGCGGGGATTGTTCCCAGTGTCGTCTTTGATGAATCATAACTGTGTGCCGAATACAAAGTACTATTTCAATAAGGAGTGCCATATGATAATAAAGGCTGTTAAACCTATTGCGGCCGGTACTGAAATCTTCACCTGCTACTCTGGGTTATTATGGGGAACACCTGCCAGACGTCTACATTTATTTAAAACGAAACATTTTTGGTGCAAATGTGAAAGATGCACTGATGCAACGGAGCGAGGAACTTTTTTAGCAGCTCTGAAATGCTTCGATACAAATTGTTCTGGTTCCCTTCTTCCTATAGAACCGTTAAATCCTACGTCAGCATGGCGTTGTCTTACTTGTGGACTGAGGGTGCCAAATAGTAATATCTCCGCAATCCAAAGTGCACTCGGGAGTTTGATTGGATCGTTGAATTTTGAAAATGTAGCTGAATTAGAGAAGTTTTATATGAACAGGGTTTATAAGTATATACCGAAAACTAATCAAATTGTAGTGGATCTGCAGTGCCGGTTAATTTGGGAGTTGGGAGAAGTGGATGGCTGCAGGTGGCATGGTAAGTTCTTACACAAAACAAATAAAACCATTTCAAAAGCAATACTGAGAATATTGAATAGTTTCAATTGTGGTTCTTTAGAGTATACATATTGAAATATTGCGATAAAATCATACATTTAAGATCACATCTCTTATCGTATTTTCTTTTGACAGGCAACAAGCGTATAGTGTTCTGCCAGTGATAAGTTGATAAGCGTGGCAATACATACCTGTCATATATATTATGTAGTGTGCTCTTGTAATACATACTAAAAAGCAAACTCACTTCCTACCTCTTAAATCTTTTATATTTCGCAATAAGATTATTCAATATGTTCATCAATATATAGAGTTTTAAAAATTAGATTTATATGTACACTAAAAAAACTGATTTCCGATGGCTACGCTTGTAGGTATAGGTACACTTTCCTTCCAATAGCTTACACTTATTCAAAAATTATATATATTCAATGAAAAAGTATTGTGGTAATTTATTTTTCTGACCATACATTGTGACGATTTCAAAATGTAGATGATTTTACATAAAATAAGATTTATTATCATTCATTTATTCTGACTTTGGCTTTGAACAACTATTATTTACTTCCTTTCCTTAGTCGAATGTATGTGAATTTATCAACATGAGACAAACATAATGTTTAAAAGGTATATATCAATAAAAATATATACCTGAACAATATATTTTCAACCTTATTCACGAATAATATTCTATCCAAGCAGATTTCCTGAGCTATTTTCAAAACAGGTCAATTCTATCGACATCGTTACTCAGAATATCGTCAGTCAATTCCACTCGATCTGTGTAAACTTGACGTATACAGTTAAATCAGAATTTTTGTGTATCAAAAAGAGAGTTACTGATTTGAACCCGCTTTTGTGCCTTCAATTTATAAATCAAGATCATTGTCTAGAATTTGGCAAAATTTGTATTAAAAAATCTAGTCTAGGCGAAAGGGGTTTATTTTCAAATAAGGTCATTTAGAAAGGCGGCAAAATATTTTCAAATAAACCTTTAATAATCGGGCCACGATGCGATCCAACTGGTGATGTGTTTTGTACATTATGTTATGACTTATGCGATTCTTGTTATCCTTGTGGAAATTGTGTGATAACGTGTTTGGAATGCAAAACTTCACTAGCGCATACCAAGGAACGCGCTTACGTCACTACTGAATGGAAACCAATAACAAATCACAAACGATCCTCCATACCCTTTAAATCTATATTCGATATATTTTATTGACGGGTAAGAGAAAAGAACTTCTGAATATAATATTCCAGAAAAGTGATGAATCATCGTTTGAAGAACTAGGGTTATTATGTATGTAGATGCTATGATATTGGCACTGAGGAATAATAAGACAGCTTAAAATATATTGAGAATAAATTTATTTCGGGTTTCATTAAATTTTAATAACAAACCATTACGAGGTTTATCAGCATTCTTAAATCACGGCTGCGTACCGAACACCAGAAATATATTTGGATCTGATTTCACCAGGACGGGTACGCGAGTTATTGATATTGAAGAAAAAATTTGAACATGCTATACAGGGGGTTCGCTGGGGCACACCATCACGAGACTTCAGTTATACAAATCGAAACATATTGGTGTAAATGTGAAAGATTACAGCTTATATCACCAACTTTCTACGAAAATATTATACAATTAATGAATTAAGTGATTTTTTTTAAAATATCAGAAAACCTTACACATTAGTGTAACTAGTACATTTTTAAATCACAGTATATTACCCCCATACGCTTCACAGGTAGGTCGCTCTCCGGCAAAGAGTCCAGAAAACTATAAAGCTGCGAGAGTAAGCAGGGAATGGGACCTGGTTGACGCTGGACTTATGACTTAGATATTCCATACATTAATGAAAATGGGACTTTGTTATCAGCGATGCATTAAATACTCAGGATTTCTCTTACCATGCCACTCCATAGTGTACTTGCATGACTGCATTGACTGTAGTTCAATCGTGCCCTGAGACAAACAAATGCACAGTATCCTTGGGTTAGATAATAATATTTTAACCAGATTATCAATCCTGCATCTAACTACATACGAGAGTAGAAATGAGATTCATAATAGCTATATAATAAACACTAGGGAAAAAAACTTATGTAAAACATTAAACAACGGAAAGTTTCATACCTGGGCCACGTGTTGCGCTATGACCGCTACCACCTCCTTCAATTAATTAGAATAGGTAGAATCCAGGGTAAACAACGTGTTGGTAAAAGGAAGAAATCATGGCTTCGTAACGTTAAGGAGTGATTGGGTATCGCGACTGCGGAACAGTCGCTGCATCTGGCGCAGGGAGAGATTCGCATCACGAGACTGACGGCAAACCTCCAGAAATAGAGTGGCAGTGATGGCACCAAATAAAGAAGAAGAACAGACCCTAGTAACGATTACAGCTTGACCTTCAATGGTACAAATAATACTGTGTCACAAACTAATTAAATATCAACTAACTGCAAGAAAGACTACGCCCATGAGTTTGCATTTATTTTCGGGTAATAGTTTACTTCTTTAAATTAATATCTTTTTTCGTATTCTAATAGTACTTAATAACACTCTCATTCCTCTTGGTAAAAATCGACGGGAAACATGCTTATTAATCAGTGTTATGTGATTTTAGTATGGGGGATCGGAATCTGCTTAGCTTAGCTAATTATTTAAATGAAAATGAGTTACTCGTAAACATTTACCATTGAACATGTTGCGTAGACAAGTGGTTTCTCCTATACGATATATAATATTTCTAGAACACAATGCGGTTATATCAAGGTTTTGTTTACTTGTAGTGGTTATAATACTTAGAAGTACCTACGAGCAATTGTAGAGTGGTGTATATGTCACCGTAAAATTGTAAATACCGTTAGATTGTAATCTATCTCGCGAGATTGTAAACTGTCGAAAGATTGTGAACCTCAACGAACTGCTTAAAATTTAACGTTTATTCGTGGTTACAATTTTACGTTACCATACACACTGAAATTAATTAGGGATAACAGGCAAAATAATATTTACAAAAAACATTGCTTTGGGCACTGAAAAATAGTGGAACTTTTCTTAGTTCAATTAACTATCGTTATAATATTAGCGACTCGCTCCGATGTGGGTAACCGTGACCCGATAACCTTGAAAAATTATACATATACCTAAACCTTATTCATCATTCTAGATATTGGTGAAAACCACTGTTGAGTGTGTGTTTTTGAGTTTATCGCGAACAGAGAGACAGATAGACGCGGCGAAGGATTTGTTTTATATAATACTAGCAATGCCCCGTGGTTTCACTCGCGTAGATACCGATCTCGTGGTAGTGGAACCCCACACGAAACTACCTTTTGGAAGGGGCAACTAGAATCTTCTTTATATTTTATTTGACGTTCAAAGGTGCAATTTTAGGTGGTCTAATTGAAATAAATGATTTGACTTTTACTTTGACTTAGGAAAGTCTACTAAGTCGGACCATAGATATATGTTTGTTACCATAATAGTTTAATTTTAGTTTACTTAGTTTATAATTACTTCCTTCCTTATTATTAGATACACACTTAAATTCATAATCTTATTAATATACAGATTTTACATTACAAGGAATATACCTATATTTGATACATTTTAAATTCGTTACATTATTTACGTAGAATGTCCGACACTAGTAAATTTAAAAATGCTTTACAGAAATAGAAAATTTCTTGATGGTAATGAAATTTTTATTTCAATCAGTCCAGTATCAACTTCATTATTATAAATTATTAAATATCTTTTTCACACCTTGGGTTATATTATTCCATTTTTATTAAGGCTCCCTATTTTTTTTAAATGTAATATAGCCTATGTCAAACAGTGAAGATGCAGCTTTCTAATGGTGAAAGAATTTTTTAAATCGGTCCAGTAGTGTCTGTGTGAAAACATTACAAGCATACATACAAAAACACAAATGTTACCTCTTTATAATATTAGTATAGATAATAAAAGTTTGACATAATATGCTGTCGCCGACTTTATAGTCCGTTATATCAAGCACTACAAATTTTAACCGTTAAGTGTTCTTATCTCAGCTTTCGTAAGAAACGATTTATTTCGACCATTTTGCTCCGATTTAGGTAGTGTGCAATCCGACTACCACGAAACAGTCTTTTAAATTTTCGTTAATATGCAAATAGCGTTATTTGTATGTATAACGTGGCTAAAAATTGGTAAAAGAATCATAAAAAGCGATTTAGCAGATTATACTCTCCAACCTTACAAACTTTACTGTTTATAATAGTAATATAGATATATATATATGAAAAAGATTTATTATTAAATATATAATAAGAATACATTATTCTGAAATACCTAGTACAAGCACAGTACAAGCGTATAGCATAATATGACCATAGTATATATCTATAAACACTCAATTATGGACTTCTTAAGGCTTGTATAAAGGGTTGTAAGTCCTAAACGAATGGCGCTGACATATTTTATTTTATTGTTCAATTACTTATCTTGACGGTAATAAATAAAAAAATAATGTTTTGCTTTTTTACATAGTCTTTATACTACATATTGATTTTCTAATTATACATTAATAGGTATATTGGTTTTAATATTTGGAAATCTAATACGCAGTTATATCGCTAACATACAAATCTTCGCCGCAAAATAAATTGCTAATCTCTATGAAGGTAATAAATTAAAATTACGGAAGTTCCAAACGTCTATTCCGCCAAAACTACGCACTTGAAAGCTCAAAGCGTAATTCACATATATTAGCAAGCTCAGTGCATCGTAAACAGTTACTGCGCAGCTCGCGAATATAATAAGAGAGGTGTTTGCGCGTGAAAACAGTTCAATTATCGCCTTTGTCATGGGCGCAGCATCAAAAAACGCACGTCCACACGTCGTCATCAGGTGGATAGGGCTACCAGTGCCGTTAGTATTTCTTTCTTTTTGAATTTGGCAGCTTGACCTGTGATATAATCTAAGTGTTGATCAGTTTTATTGTCCGCAAATATCATTACCTGTTAGGTAACCCAATGTGTGCATAAATGTTCGTTTGTTCTCGTGCCAACTATTCTAAACATTCGTTTAGGATGCCTAGTGTTGAGAGGGTGATGAATGAGAATTTCGTTTTTTAAAGTGCGGTAATCTTTAAGCATTTTATAACCTATTAATATATTAATTAATTTTAATTAGACATGGTTCCAAAATATATATAATCGCTCTGTATCTTATTCATATATTTTTGTAAAATACGTTTTACTTTTAAAGGTCTATATGGAATCCCAACTTAACTATAAACATATAGGACTACAGAATTAAATATGTATTGTTATTTCTTAATCCGATCTGTATTTCATATCTCTATATGTACGAGAACCTATATTACATAGCAGCTTCTAATATAATATAAGAGTGCATTTACTTCTATTAGGTACTACTTTTGTTTGCATTTTAATCAAATATAAGTTATATTATACAAATATATGTGTTTTTTTCATAATAGCTGGTAACATAATAGTTTATGATGAAGAATTTATTACGACTAATCCTTAAATAGGTGAAATGAGTATTTTGAATTTCCGTTTAAACACTAGTCGTTTAGTTTTGTTAGTTTGCCTAGACCACAATATAGGTATTAATAGAATAGTAATTATTAAATATGTATACTAAATTCAAATTTTATCTCTCCTGAAATCCACTTAACCCATTGCAGAGCTGTCGGAATCCCAGCTGGCACTGAAGGAGAGTCTGTGCCGCGGTACCCTGGTAACCGTGGCAGCTCTCGGATTGGGAGACACTCACCTTCGAGGCCTGCTACTGTACCACCTCCATGCTGCCCTGGCAGAGCGCGCCCGGCGCTTTCCTGACTTATATGAGGTACGATTTATGATTTCACAATAAAATATTATATGACTTTTATCTTAACAGTTTCTCAGAGGAATAATTTAGTATTCAGTTTTAAACGATATCGATCCTTACTATACCTACTCATTAAACACTATTGGATAATGTCAAACAACTTTGTTTAATGACGTATGTAAAAACCGAATTATAGAAAATACTTGGGGCCTCTTCCTAGCATTTTATATCACGCATAAGCGAACTGAAACTAAAGTAGAGTGTACAAAATTTTAAAAGGTATTCATCGTACCTTTTCGTCTTTACAAACGGCAGATGCCGTCAAACTTAGGTAGTGATTAGTGTGTCTATTGCGGGGTAGGCCCGCTTGTTTCACTATGAAATTAAACTGTCTTTGATAATAACTGTAAAAAATATATTTTCAGGAGCTCAAAGCCGAAATCGAATGTACAATCGAACAATCTTACAATATCCTAAAAGGTGATATTTCGTCACCACCAGATTTGGAACTACGGCGCCAGTACCTTGGACCCGGAAGTGACAAACCTCATGAAGAGAGGTTTTTCATTTTAGATAAATAGCCGACTCCATAATGTTTTGATCTGTAAAATGTGATATTACCCAAGTAATCTAGTGTTTTGTAACCATTATATTTATTATATGTGTATCTAGATGCATAATGTGTATAAATTTTTTCATGTGTGAGCAATAAACTAAAGGTAATCATGCCGTGACGTGTACTAGCGTAAGTAACTACGAAATGGCTCCTAGCGGTACGTTAATTTTGAGTTATGAATTTAAATACTAATATACGGCTAATGTCGTGAACTGTATAGCGTGACCAGCCTTGCGATTCTGTAACTCACTTTTCGAACTCACACAGCGGTTTTCGCATCGGCGGTCGCTCTCAAATCAGTCGTGATGCAATCATTTTATGATTTGGCATTCTGATAAACAAGAAACTACAAGCTGCCACCTTTTCAGAATCGAGTTCGAAAAGTGAGTTACAGAATCGCAGGGCTGATCGTAGAGTTGATTCTTTTACCATTTCATTATATGGACCACAGACATTTAAACTAATAGGACCCATCGTTAGAACAAATTGTTGAATATTTAAATTACACAAGTATGCGAAATTAATTTTTTCGAAAGATTAAAAAAAACTGTTATCTCTTTTAAATGTTCAAAAAAAAACAGTAGTCTTATTATACATACCACGTCTTATAATTTAGAAGATTAAAACATGTATGCAGCCAATATTTAAAAAAAAATGAAAAATAAGAAATGATGAAACTATTTAAGATTATTTTATTAGTAGTATTATGTAGATTTACACAGTATGTACAGCTTGCTAGTCAGTGGACTGCGAAATGTGTGTTTAAAATTTATATGTATTGAATGTCAGGAGTATCTGAATAGTATATGTAATGTATGTATGAGCAAGATCCCTAAGCCCTACAGACGTACCCTAACACATAAATAGTGAATATATAAATAAGTACGGGATGTCAGCACCAAGAGAACTAAGGTAACTGACGGAGCCCTACGGATAGGATCAAAGGTTCGAGGTGGTATGGTTATCTCAAAGCTCGGTAGCTCACCACGATAATTAACTAGTCTTCGCCACTTTGAGAGGAAGCGAGAAATGAACAAGACAGAGCAATATTCAAATCTCATTTATTGTTCAAAAACATTATCTACACCTATTTACACATACATTATATTATTCTAGTGAGCTGTTTGTGTATCGCGCATCGCGTCAGCAGTTGGTTGATGTTCAAATGAAGAAATCTGAACACAGTATATTACTAAAGAAAAATTCAGTAAAAATATTTTAAAGCTACATTTTGCTGCTTTTCTTTTATGAGTTTTTGCTTCGTCTCTATACAAACTTTTTAACTCATGTACAGCCTATGTTTTTAGGTATTTAATATATCCTGGACAATATTTTTACAATCAATCTTTTGTTTTCCTAAAAATGTAGAAATGAAGTTCTTAAAGCCACTTCAATCATTTTTTTCTATACGAGTATCCTTAAATAGACCTTTTTAAATTCTGCATCCTTAGTAAGTTTCCTGATGGTTTTGTACATATTTTTACTTTGTACCAGATAAACTAGAGTTTTGTAGAACAGTGTTGGCCTAGTGGCTTCAGCGTGCGACTCTCATACCCGAGGTCGTAGCTTCGACCCCCGGCTGTACCAATGGACTTTCTTTCTAAGTGCGCATATAACATTTGCTCGAACGGTGAAGGAAAACATCGTGAGGAAACCGACATGCCTTAGACCCAAAAACGTCGACGGCGTGTGTCTGTCAATGGAGGCTGATCACCTACTTGCCTATAACATTTAAAAATTATCATGAAACAGATTCAGAAATCTGAGGCCAAGACCTAAAACAGGTTGTAGCGCCACTGATTTTTTTTTTATCAGATAAACTAGGAAAACAGAAGCAAAAATAGCAAAACTGCATTTTGTCCTTGTTTTAATGGAGTGTTTTGTCCGCATATGTTCTAAAAATATTCGAATACTTACTATGATTATAATTATCTACATTTCCGAAAAGCAGTATTTAAAATATAGGTACTCAATACTCATACATATCATGTTTACTTTCAACATTGGACCAACATGTATATAAACTTTTAGCAGCTTTTATATTATTAATATAAAAATTTAGACAATAACGTAAATATATATATGTGAATATGTTTTCTTACACTCCTTTTTTATGTAGATTTATAAGAATTGATCTTTTATTTTATAGATCAATTATTTTCTATTCCTAAATTCCTTTCCAGTCGATAATTTTATTTTTTTACCCGTTACCCTGTTTTTGACCCTGAGCCTTAAAAAAATCTATATTGTACCGATGTACATACATAAATTTCTATGACGTGTCACGTGATAAAATAACGTAATATTTGCAAAATAGGTTAACAGCAACGCGTTGGATTCGCAACTATTATGAAAGTAATTTGACGATAACAATTTAGATGTTACTTATATTGGATTCTGCATGCACGACTTGGCCAATAATTTATTAAAATGTACTTTAATTTTGACGATCAATTCAACAGTTATTTTATGAAACAATCAATTTAAATTCCTCGAAGTCCTTCCTTGAAGACTGAAGTCATTACTATGTCAGAGACAGCTGACAGTGACAGTAAACTTTTTACGAAATAAACATCTTTATTTATACTTTTGCCGAAATTTGTATTTTTTAAATTCTTTTGTATAGATTCTAACCGATTAACTAGTTTTATCATATATTTATCGTATTTACTTATTGCCCTGACTACAAATTGTATTATTTGGATAAGACTACATAACAGCTGTTGTTTTATAGTACCATGATAACACATTATTAGGAGATTAAGATATAAATGCGACTTTCCAACTTATCGTATATTCTAGAAGTTGGTTTTAAAACACTTTCTACCATGCAGTCTCAACGCAAGGCTCTACTGCTTTCTTCGTCTAACTGCCACGGATATTCTTTATTGGAATTCGCTAAAGAAGAAATCTGCAAGTTTTTGGGTTCGTAAGTACACTGCAAATACAGACTAATATTGAAAACAATTTTTATTTTTCTCGATAAACATTGAATACTTGAATGTTATTTAACTGTTTTGTGATTTCAGTAATGATGTCAAAGAGTTAATATTTGTACCATATGCACAAAATGATTTTGATGGCTATACCAAAAAAATAAGTGATGTTATTAATCCTTGGGGGTTTCCTGTTAGAGGATTACACACATTTAGCAACCCCATTGATGCCATTAACTCTGCCAAAGCTATTTTCATTGGAGGCGGTAATACATTTCTCCTGTTAAGTCGATTATATGAAAAAAAATTGGTGGAACTCATTAAAGATAGAGTGACCAGTGGTAATTTACTTTATATCGGAAGCAGTGCTGGTACAAATGTTGCAACAAAAAGTATACATACTACTAATGATATGCCAATTATTTATCCTCCAAGCTTTGATGCCATTGCCATTGTGCCCTTTAATATAAATCCTCATTATATTGACTATGTTGAAAATTCAACCCATAAGGGTGAAACTAGAGATCAAAGACTAGCTGAATACATGGAAATGGCTCATGCTAATCAAGTGTTGGGTTTAAGGGAAGGCTCAATTTTGCATGTCAATGGTAATTCACTTATTTTGAAAGGAATAGCAGGTGCTGTTGTTTTTAAAAGGTAAGTTTTAAAATAATATAACTAGGGGTAAACTATGTAAGCTGTAACCTGTGGAATATGTTATCTATACTATAATAATTATATAAACTTGTAAAGTTTCTGAGGTTGTAGGGAGTAATCTCTGAACCTATTTTGAATATTTTTATACCAATAGAAAGCTTATATATTAACTGTCATAGGCTATATGTTACTACCGTAAGATTTTGTGGTAGTTTGATTTTTAGTCTGCGGATGGCATATGATTATGCTTACAATATTATATTATAATTTAGCCACAGCATATTATGTTTATCTTTTATGTAATATAATAAGGCATCCATCACATGTCTATAATCCAGTGACTCTTTCAGGAATAAAGACAAAACAGAATATAAAGTTGGTGCAGATGTATCATTTTTATTGGAAGGTAATTAAAAAATAACAGCTAACAGATGACTAAAGTACCTATATAAGACAGTGTAATATTTTATGGTTACATACTAATTGTTAAAATAAAGTATATTTTTATTCTATGATTATTTATTACTTCTATGCTATTGACATAAATTTCAATATTTTGACATATATTTAACTAAGCTAACATTTATTGTGCCATCACCTAATTGGCACAAAAAACACAGAAAGGTAATTATTACAGTATCTTCACATATAGTAATTTAACCTTGTCACATCTAGGAAACCAAATATAAAACATCCATGGTACAGAAAAATATTCACTAAGTTTTCACTCAAACTTTTAATGCTCTTACAGTCCATAAATTTAAGACAATGTGCACAGACAGACTAAGTATATATACTAATATCTAATAACAATAGTCGAAATTAAAATGTCAAAAACTGTAATTTAATCTACACCAGAAATTTAACACCTTTTTCTATATCTTGTATAGCGGTAGCTACTTGGAATAAAGTTGCTGTGCTCTGGACTGACTGTTTGTGTAAATGTGTCATGTAAATTTTTTTATATAGTCCAAAAATGTTACTTTTCATAGTTTTTTCTTACAGTAATAATGTCTTAAACATCATAACATCCATAAGACATGTCATTTGTTAATATATTAACAAATGAATCACATTTGTTGTCTATCTTTTTCTATACAATTTAAAGTCAATTACCATGAAAGTTGGGGTAATTTTAACAGACAATGCTGTATTTACTTTTCTATATTAATCAATATAGTTGTTCCCAATCTTCTGGATATCTTTCGTTATATTCCCTGTGTCAGCCATTCACCGGTGCTTCTAGCAGAGCCCTGGCTGCTTGGAACAGCGATGGCTGTGGGGTAACCCTGGATTGACTTCTTTCCACAGCCGGTAGATGGCACAAGTATCTACGTAACGCCAAGTCACGCCTTGCACTTAAACCGCGAGTGATTTCACATCCCAAACCGAAAAGCACTTCGCGTTGACGTTTTCTTTTTTCCATCGAAACCTGAAAATATTAATAGGAAATGTCAAATTTTATAATATAAAAGGTTTTATTTTGCTGTATAGCTTTTATTTCTTTTATTTATAATAACAATTATAATAATAATTATTATTATTATACATTTTTAAATTACCTGAACAGCACCCACAGGATGAAGACTCTCAACATCAGTACACGTCTCGTGTTTCCCATTTGTCAATCCATCTTTACTTTCCATTGATTCGCTATTCTTCTGCAAAATATCCTGGACTTTTTCCTTCCCTGCCATATTAATGGACAGACCGAGACGTGCCAGAACGCGCTCCGGTCGCCATCTATCTCTGGCGCCTCCTGTCGGCGGTTTTTGCTCCCGACGATTGACATCTGCGACTAGACTGGCCCAGTCTACGCCTAAGGCATCACCTAGACCAGCTGAAAAAGAATCTATTACGTGATTTATGTAACCCAACATTAGTTAAGTTACATATAGATATTTTAGTTAAAAATTAGAAGCATTAACTAATGTAATCATCGCACACTTGAAGCCAATATGAGCCCTTTAGTTTTTACTACACTTATAAATTGTATTTTAACATTCTCGTTAGTCATAAGTGGCATTTAGATTTATGAACTCTTAAATAAACCAAGTTTGTTTTTGTTAGCATTGCAACCCCTAATTTTGTGTTAGTTATAAGCACATATATTAAACCATTAGAGTCAGTTGTTACCCAGCTTCAAACAAAGAGTTTTATTTAAACATCTCCATACAAAAACTGCCACCAAACAATAATTCGTGAATATATACAAATCCAAGTTGAATTAAGCCGCCAGGACTTAGGTTAAGACTCAGAGTCGAGACTTAGTGCAAACAATAGTAATTGTTATAAAAGGCTGATCAACTACTTTTTTAAAGAAAATAACACAAAAATAAGTCTCAAGGGCCCAGGCATTATGAGACGACAAACATCTTCAAATATTTTTAACTTAAAAATTATATACAGGACATAATATTATTTAAAAATTATAACAGGAGGTACAATACTTAAGAAGTACTCTTAAAAAAAACATACTTCTGGTCCTTTCCTCTTCCAACTCGCCGTCAGAGATTTCTTCAAAATCAAGATTGGCGACGTCATCTTCATCTTTACCATCTTGAGATTCTTTGTCTTCACAGGCACCAATAGTGTCCTGAAATTGGTCAAAAACGTTATTAATAAATAAATCAGTGGCGCTACAACCTTTTTATGTCTGAGCCTCAGATGCATCTGCTTCATGATCATTTGTCAATCTAATAGGTATAGTATGTGGTCAGCTTCCTGTGCCTGACACACGCCTTCGACTTTTTGGGTCTGAGGCAAGCGGGTTATTAATTTAAACCAATATATAAACGTTCATAGAAATTTAATTAGTAAATGTGTTTTATTTTGGGCTTACACCTCACAACCTCGAGGTGGTCCAAATCACGTCTATCAACTTTCTGCCCATGTGCGCATTTAACCCCCGCTCGTACAGTAAAGGAAAACACCACAAAACCGGCATGCTCTATTGGAAAAAAAGGTCACAAAACAAATACAGAAATCTAAGTTCAAAACCAAAGGCACCATTGTTTTATGTTTCTAAAGACTTACAACAATTTTTTATCAACATTCATGCTTCGGCCGATAGGCGTGCGGCTTATACTCGTTTTAATTCGATACTACAATATTTTATTTTTAAGTAATACAATTCCTCAAAGTCATAAAAATATAGATAGAAAATCAAAGTTTGCTACAATTTATGATATACCTGTGTATTTTCTTTCTCAACATTATCTGGTTTTGCGTTCGCACGTTCATCTAATTTTTCCGTTTGACTGTCCTCATCCAGAGTTTGATCTTGCATCTGTAAATAATTTGGTTAACGCGAGTACTACACATTTAAAAAAAATATTCAAGAGATATAAACACGAATTTGATTATTTAAATAACATTTCGAAAGCTTTTGATTGCAATGATAAGTGAGAAACTCCGCCCGAGTTGTATAAAGGAAATGATGATGAATATTAAGAAAAAACTATGATATGAACGAAGTATGTGCGTACAAATCATTATGAATGTCACAGTGGATACATATAACGTGTGCAATCCCCACGTTAGCTAGATATAATAGTTCTGAGTATACTCACATCATCCCGTTCCAAAATATCGTCAGGGTCATCACTAATTTCACTGAGGTCATCCGGTATAGGTTTGTCATCGTCATCATCATGAGCTGGTGGTGCCTCTTTTATCTCTGGTTCCGGACGTCTTCGTTTGTCACGTCCGTGGTCCATTCGCATGCGATTGTAATCATCTAAAGTTATAAACTTAGTTACTGCAAAACTAGCAATATTCCTATATTTTGTCTAAAACGTGTACCATTTTTTTTAAGTTTATTATTATTGTTAATAAAGTTTTTATATATTCACACACGCAAAAAGTACGTAAGTTATATTTTAACAAAACTTTTAGCGGAATAACTATAAACACGATACTTCGGGGCAGTTATTACAATAAATACGAAATAAATGAAATTAATAATAATAAAGTGATAACCGCCGCCCATGGAAACCAGCATCACCGGGGGCTAGCGGGTGTGTTGCCGACCTTTCAGAGATTGATACGCTATTTTCATCAAGGCTCTACTGACAGATTCGACAAAAAAGGTGGTGCGCGGGAGAGAAGTACCTTAAAAAGCTGTGTTGTAGAACGCCAGGTGTTTATTGTTTTATGTGTTTAAGACTTAAATTATATTAGTTTTTGGTAAATAATTATACACATTAAATTATTAATATAATTATTTAATTACAAACCAGTGGCATTGAGGTTGTGTGTAAAAATTAGTATAGCAATAATTCGCATAGCTACGAAAAATCATTTATATTAAATCTCATATTTATCTCGACCGAGTTCTTGACCGTCCCATATCGAGTTGTACGACAGTATTACGGATATTGAAAAAACTACGGATAACTTAACGACGTTATAAACTTACTAACCATGCATACGATTTCTATGTGGTCCGGGATGACGATGCCTCCAACCTTCATCCTGTTCTTTATCCCAATCATTCATCTATAACACATAGAAAACAATAAACATTACGAATGACGGTTGAATTAAACACACAAACAAAACATACCATGAGGACTAAGGCAGAAAAATGGGGCCCCCCCAAAAAAACCCCGGGAAAGGGGCCCAAAAAAAGGAAACTAATCAAAACAGGAAATGTTCGAAGAACTGCATTAACTATGGGATAGTATATGTAGTTGGAAAGCCTTAGATTGGGGGGGAAATTCATTTTCTGTCTTCATATCTAATGGGTCATTCCGCGAATGTTTAAAGAAGGAACACATTTACACTTTGTCTTGTGTAGTCTCTTGTGAATAGAGCGCAGGGAGGCTAAAAATGAAATACAATCACATAAATATGAAAAATCGTTCGCGCTTCAAACCATGAGATATAGAGACGTATATGTTGACCGTTAAGACTGCATTAACTATTTTTTCAAAGGGACATCTCTGAAGGACAGTTTTTAAATCATATTAATAAAAAGTTGTGATAAAAAGTTCCTTTATTTGACATCAGATGCGGAGAGCTGAAAGCTGATTTCATTTGTTGTCATGTGTTTCAGCATACCCCCAAATCAAAGCCTTTAGTTCAAACAATGGCAAAATCTTGATCACCTACTCCGAGTACAGCAACTTTTCTCGACCAATGAGTCATGCCCAGATGGAGGTATGTTAAAAAAGGAAAATTATTTACACGAACTACTACTTTCCCGTTCTTGGTCAGGTAATACTTTGGATCACCCTCGTACGCACCTGACTTTGACGATTTGATACTTTTTATTTTTTGGAACCCACCCCCTTACAACCAGAGTGGACAAAATATATGGGCAAAAATCATATTTTGAAACAGTATTTGAAATTGATTAGTGAGACGGTAACTAAAAAAATGGTTAGTTTACAGTAAATTATTAGAAACCTGCGCATCATGCATTGGCCAGTGCCGCTCCCTTCCCCAGTCTCCAGAGCCTCGATAATCATCATTGTCCCAATCTTTATGATGCATGTAACGGTCACGCTCCATTGACCCAGAGCGACCCTCCCATGAGCGGTCGCGACGGCGATCATCGTATCCTTAAGAAGAACAGGGGATGAGAATATACAACGAAATTGCGTTCAATTGTAATTGGTCAAGCGGACGTCGTATAATGTGTCAACTCGTATGGGGCTGAAGATGCAGTCGAAAAATCAGTATCGGACATTGTGTTCGCCCTTTGTTTTATATTCTCGCCCAGTTATACAAAGACGAAAATATTCTTGAAAATCACCTCTTTCGTTACAAATTTATTATTATTATATACAGTTTATGGTCACATTCAAAAACGAAGTACGTAATTACGTACAAAATATTTAATAGGTAGTTGCAGCGCACCCCAATTGACTAATAAATATGATATACTCTACGCTATATATCTATGTTAAAATTCATTTATAGATTAGTAAGTTAGTTGATGTGTGTCAATATGTGTGTGATCTCTAATCTCTTTACGCCCTAATCAATTTTTTTCAATGAGATGATTTTTATCTATCTCTATCTTATGACCAACGTTCCATGTGAAAAAATAATTACCTATATCGCCCCGTTCTCCCATGTCACCATACATCCTATCATCGTCTTCCGGATATCGGGAAGGTCCGGGCATGTCGTATCCTGGGTCATAATGCCTGTCCCTACCCTGTAAATATCCTGGCGACCGGTCACTATCCCGTGGCATACTACCATATCTGTTTTCCATTCTATCATAGTGGTCCATCCCATGGTCGTATGGTCGCTCCATGTCATAGTCACCTTGCTCCCTGTCAATGCTATCCATTCTGTCCCGTTTTATAGACCTGTCTCTCTCAATCCTATCTTGCTTACGGCCTCTTTCGGAATGATTATCTTGTTGATCCTTGGGACCTCTAGGATTTTTGTCATTATCTACTGCCTTGTTAGATATAGCAGCCAGTGCTGCAAGACGTTCCTCCGGCCTGGGCAGTAATCTCTGCATTGGTTTATTTGGTTTCTCTAGGCCTTTATCTTTAGCAAGACCTCTTTCCCTACCCCTGCGCTTATCATCCCTCTTATTATCTTGTTTCCGATCTCGACCTCTGTCTTTTCTGTCATGCCTATCCTTGTCATCGTGTTTTTCTTTTTTCCTTTCCATAGATCTACGACGATCGCGGTCTCTGCTAAGTGATCGTTTCTTGTGTCTGTCAGTACTGGCTTCCCTTCTTGATTGCTTTTTTGGTGACACTGGTCTACTTCTTTCAGAACTATCCTTTCGCCTTGTATCCTTAGGATGAGAACGTCGTGGTGACCTAGATCTCGCTTTCTTAGGTGATTTACTTCTGCCTCTTCTTTCCTTGTCTTTATCACGTTCCTTGTCTTTTTCTTTTCCCCTGTCTTTGTCTTTCTCACGGTCTCTAGAGGATTGAGGAGATGCACTCCTATTTCTTTCTCTTCTTTGAGGAGATTTTCCATGCTTGGAGGATGTTTTTGATAATAAGCTTTTAGATGTTATTGGTGGAGTACCTCCTGACTTCTTAGTAGGTGATAGAGACTTTTTACCTAATGCAGATTTTGTAATGACTTTTTTCTTACTTCCATCAGGCTTTTTCAAAACTTTTTCTTCCTTTTTTCCCATTCCTTTTTTAATTTCTGCCTTATCTCTTTTTACTGTATCACTTTTAACCAACTTTTTTTTAGCTGGTACATCACCATCAGAAGAAGAACTTGAGTTTCTTTTCAATTTCCCTTTCTTAGCTTTTTTCTTGGCATCCCTGAAATAAAATTTTTAATGCAATAAAGATTTTTGGTTTTTTTCATTACTTTACATAATATGAAAACATAAACATTGATAATAGAGAAGCTGAAATGGCAAATTGCTTTTGATGGATTGTATACTTATAATAACTCTCTATCTATATCTAAATACGGCCTCAAATGTTATCTGTTTTTTTCCAGGTCTTCTGTTCCTGATACTACTTATAAACTTTTGGATCAAAGACCTGCCCGCCTGGTTTCTTAACTATTACCTTTACCACATGAGCAACTGTTATTTTAGTACACATAAAAAGAAAATTCATTGGTACATGGCATGGCTTACACTGCTCTTATTTTTATGTTGACAGCAATATTACATTGTTATAGTTTAACAGTAATCACTTGAATCTAAATGTGGAAAAAAATATTAAATATTTATTGAAATGTAAATGTTATGAAATGGTGCATAGTAAGGAAGTAAGAATTATATTAGTTTGCATAACAGCCACAGTGTTATTCTTTCCGAACAGGCTCTAGTGTAAATATATATAATTTTAATCACAACTAGTAAACATTAAACATGCTGAGTAAATATAATATTGTTCATAAACAAAATGAGGAACAAAAATGGAATACTTATATAATTTAATATAAGCCAGAAAATCAATATAATGTGGAATATGAAAATTGTATGTGCTAACAATCTAAATAAAATAAGAATAAAGTTAAAATTCACAAAATATTATTGCTTAATGATTTACATTTTTATTTAGTAAAATTTTAGAAAAGTATTTCTAATATCTGTTTATCTTTTTTTTAGTTTTTCTAGTTTCTAATTGCCTAATGAACTAATTGCTGGTAAGATCCCAGTAAAGATGAGATATACAGATTATATGGAAGATCAATATAATTTTACTTTATTGTCTAAGAAATACTTCTAACCTGCCAGATGATGAAGATGAAGAACTTCCATCTGAAGACGATGAAGACCCACTTGAACTTGAGGAACTTCTAGATGATGATGAACTTGACACAGCTTTTTTCTTTTCTTTTGCCATATCTTTACCAGAGTCCATTTTTAACTGTAACTCTAGTTCATGTTGCAGCTGTTGCCTCCTTTTTTCAAGGACATCAGTATCAGCATATTCTAAGTCATTCTGATCCCAATTGTCTATCTCACCATCGGTACTACGACCAGTCCTCACAACAACAGTTGAATGTAGTCGACTTTTAGGATCATCTTTTGCTAAACGTTTTTGGTCAACATCTTTATTTGCCCGTTGCTTAGAAGGACTGATCAACGTATGAGTAGAGGCAAATTTGCAACTTTTACCATATGCACAGCTGCCGTGTTGCACCCACTGTCTACAAAAATCAGTTTTCTTACCACTAGAACTTGCCTTTTTAGTACCGAGGCGTTCAAAAACACTAGGTCTATTAGATAAATCCTTTGTTTTAGGTAACTCCACAGTAATTTTCCTTTTACCTTGTTTTGACATTATAAAAGAGAAACATTAGTCTTAAAAATAACTACAGTCCACTGAATCAAAAAATTCAAATACATCACCACTTCAATTATTTTATTTGCAAAAGAACAACTTTTAATTATTATATTTTTTTCAATGTGAAAATTGCTGTAATTAATAAACGTATATTGGAAACGACAGGTGAAAACGGTGAAATTCAGTCTGAAGCAGTAATCCCCTAAACAAAATAGCCGGCATTTTGTTTTATAAATTTTTTATCTGTAGTTGTCCTATTTACAGTTTTAAGACCTATAAGATGGAAGGTCCTCTAATATATCGCGTTATGGGTACACATTTGAGTATGCACTCTGTATTCAGTTTAATCATAAGTCAAAAAACCCACAGAGTAGTAAGCTCAAAGCTGTTCGATAGAATGGAAATTTAAACAATGAGGATATAGGGATGAGATCATGAGATATTTAAAACTCGATCAGATTCTGTCTATTGTTTCGGCTCGATATATAATTATAACATTTAATTACTAACGCGCCAGAACACATTATTCGGAGACCCTTATTTACGATTAAAATTCACTTTCTGTATTTGGAATTACAGTGGAATCTCTATAACTCGAACCTCGTTAAGTCGAAATCCTCAGTAAGTCGAAAAAATAAACTTTGTTGTCTGTAAATTCGGTTTACTGACGATAGTTGAACGTGACAACGTCATAAGAAAATACTGATGGAATGGTTGCATTTTTAAAAGAAAATGTTTATTTTATTTGTTTGATAGATATTTTGTATGGATATAGAAAAGGAGGTAAATGGAAATCACAATTGAATTGATCAAGTTACATTTATTTGTACGCAATAATAATACAATTATCTCATTTATATATATTTTTTAACGAGCGAACGCTCTTTGTCGCTCGTTCCGCGCTTTCGCTTGCACGTCAAGCCTTAAATGGAACGCCTCAGAGCGAGGTAACGCCGCATGAGTCATGTTTTTTCGTGCGTGCAGCCGGCTCCATCGAATTATAAGACGTTGTCACGTCAAAAAATTGCCATGCCCTAAATACGCGGTATCTCGAATTATTTGGACTTTGTAACTCCAAAAAAAAGTTATTTCCCTACGAAGTATTGATATTTTCTAATACTTACCTACATATTTATACTCTATACCTCGAATTTCAAAAAGAAGACTCCGTAAGTCATATTATTGAAATATTAGGTCCTTACTTTAATCACGATGTTCTCCTCTTTGGTAGGAAATTCCAAATTCAAATTTGTACAGCTATTTACTCATGTATTTGTGCTTCGATGACCGTCATTCATTTGTTTTTTTCTGTTTGCGTCACTCATTTTACAAAATGGAAAACTTAAAGTATCGCATTATTTACGAGTACGAGTTCCGTCGTGGCACTAGTGCTGCGGAAACGACTCGAAGTGTGAATGATGTGTATGGCGGTCATGTTGCAAAAGAAAACACAGTTCGTTTTTGGTTCCAACGTTTTCGTTCTGGAAATTTCGACCTGCAGAACAAGCCCCGTGGACAGCCTGAGACCCAAGTTGATAATGAAGTATTGAAGGGAAGATTAAAAAGCTTGAAAGATAGGTACCTCACGAATTGACTGAAGCAAACCGGCAAACGCGCGTCGACTGCTGCGTTACATTACTGAACCGGCACAATAATGAAGGTATTTTAAACCGAATCATTACCCGTAATGAAAAATGGATTCATTACGATAATCGGAAGCGCTCAGCGCAATGGTTAATCCTGGCCTGCCAGCCAAATCCTGCCCCAAGCGAAAATTAACTCCAAAACGTTGTAAGCGTTTGGTGGACTAGTGCCGGTATTGTTCATTGCAGTTTTCTCAAATCTGGCCAGACTATTACGGCTGATGTCTATTGTCAGCAATTGCAAACCATGATGGAAAAGCTAGCGGCTACACAACCTAGGCTGGTCAATTGCTCCACGTCACTGCTACTTCACGACAACGCTAGACCACACACTGCACAACAGACGGCTACCAAATTAGAAGAGCTTCAATTGGAATGTCTAAGACATCCTCCGTACTCCCCGGACCTTGCTCCAACAGATTACCATTTTTTTCGAAATTTGGACAACTTCTTGCAAGGGAAAAAATTTAACTCTGAGGGGGCAGTCCAAATCGCCTTCACAGATTTTATTGATTCCCGTCCGACTGGTTTTTTTAGTAAAGGGATCAATGAACTACCTATGAGATGGCAAAAGTGCATAGAAAGCAATGGTTCATACTTTGATTAATTAAATATATTATATTTAAAAATATTCGACTTTTTGTTCCTCCCATACAAAACGCCAATTTCATATGTAAGGACCTAATATAATGACGTCTTACTTGGAATTCGCCGAAATAATAGGCAATAAATTAAATGAATTTTCGGATGCAGGGCTTCTAATTTTTTTTCAGGTTTTTGTCCTGTAAACGTGCAATTAATGAATACTTTCATAAAAAATATATACTACAAAACTTAAGTTGTTATTCAAATTCGACTACAAATTATTAAAAAAAACACTTCAAAACTGCGCCAGAGTCGAAATTTCAGCAGTTAAATCAAATGTATCTCGAAGTTCTTTTTAAGTCGGAAACTCATTAACTCGATTATTTTTGCATTTCCCTTGACATTTGAGGTATAGAGATTCCACTGTATATCTAAACCACAATGTCTGGACAGCAATCCGATCTTTAAAGAGTTTAGTCGATTCACAGTTCAGTCCTCCACGATCGTTATAATAAACGTCGAGTCTAATCGATTAATCGAATTTAGGGGGAATCCAGATGTCTTGGAAGGTTTTTAGGAGGTATTTTTATTTAGAGGGATTTTAGGCGTTACTTTTCACAAGATTTCTTTTTTTTTTTCTAAAAAAACCCACGTTTCTATACAATTTATATTAATTCTAGAATCCAACAAACAAACCAAACTAAATATAAACACAAAGTGTGGCTATAACTGAAATATCAAAAATCAATACGATCTTGGATTAAGATCGAAATTTTATAGTATTTCATACTAGGTGAATGTATTTTTAATGTACAATTAAAGTATACACTATACAATCAAAAATCTTTAGGGGTTTTAATCGATATTTAGGTGTATTTGAAGTTGGTTATGGCCTATGGGGAAACATTTTGTAGGAGTTGGCATCACTGACAACTGGCTTCAATCATGTATTATCTATTAAGTTTTTCTCCAAGTACTCTAACCTTTCTTAATTCTTATTTAAGTAATAAAGTTGTTAGCGTCAAGCCCAATAGTTATAGGTTTTTTAATGCACATTCATAGTTGAAAACACATGACTTACTAATCTGTATTCATAATTATGCATTTTGCATGAATGCATCTATGAATATTGCTGATCTAATGAAAATACTTTTCGGCTTTTAGAAAACATTAAATTCTATAAATATGCCTTTATTAGACGGAAAGGAAATTGAAATCTTCTTTGTGAGTATTTTTTTGTACGGAATATATGCTCTTTATTTCATATTGTAATTTTTTAAGGTATTGAAGTCAATATTTATCCATTTCAGTAGTTACTGACCTAAATTTAAGATTATAAAGTTCCTATTCACTTGGGTTGTTTACATCATATAGTGTGCTATATTAATAATTGTGCAAGATAATAATTATAAATACATATAATAAACTTTGCATTTCCAGAGTGAAGAAGACCTGCCATATGAGGAAGAAATTTTGAGAAACCCTTTTTCTGTTAAACATTGGCTGAGATATATTGAACATAAAAAAGGAGCTCCCAAGCATGAAATAAATCTTATTTATGAGCGAGCTCTCAAAGAATTGCCTGGATCCTTTAAATTATGGTATAACTATCTAAAGTTAAGAAGGTCCCAAATTAGGGGAAAATGCATAATAGATCCATCATATGAAGATGTTAACAATTGTTTTGAAAGATCATTGGTCTTTATGCATAAAATGCCTAGGATATGGATGGACTACTGTACATTTTTAACTGACCAGTATAAAATAACCATGACAAGAAAAGCTTTTGATAGTGCATTGAGAGCATTACCAATAACTCAGCATCACAGAATTTGGCCTCTGTACTTGAGTTTTTTAAAGAAACATGATATTCCAGAAACTGCTGTGCGTGTTTTTAGAAGATACTTAAAGCTCTGTCCAGAAGATACTGAAGAATACATTGATTATTTGATATCAATTGATAAATTAGATGAAGCAGCTATTAAATTGGCTCAAATTGTTAATAATGAAAACTTTCAGTCAAAACATGGTAAATCTAATCATCAGCTATGGAATGAATTATGTGAATTGATATCTAAAAATCCTGATAAAATACATACACTAAATGTAGATGCTATTATAAGAGGGGGTCTGCGACGCTATACAGACCAGTTAGGACATTTATGGAATTCTATAGCTGACTACTATGTAAGAAGTGGGCTCTTTGAAAGAGCAAGAGATATTTATGAGGAAGCTATTCAAACGGTAACTACAGTCCGTGACTTCACCCAAGTTTTTGATGCTTATGCTCAATTTGAGGAACTTAGTCTGAGTAAGAAAATGGAAGAGGTTTCTAAAAATACCAATCCTAGTGAAGATGAAGATATAGACTTAGAACTTAGACTGGCAAGATTTGAATATTTGATGGAAAGAAGATTGCTATTACTTAATTCAGTTTTGTTAAGACAAAATCCACATAATGTTGCAGAATGGCATAAAAGAGTAAAGTTATATGAAGGGAAACCTCATGAAATTATTGACACATACACAGAAGCTGTTCAAACTGTTGACCCTAAATTGGCTGTTGGCAAGTTGCATACATTGTGGGTAGGTTTTGCAAAATTCTATGAAACTAATGATCAAATAGAAGATGCAAGATTAATTTTTGAAAAAGCAACACAAGTAATCTATGTAAAAGTAGATGATCTTGCTTCTGTTTGGTGTGAATGGGCAGAAATGGAGATAAGACATGAGAACTATGAAGAAGCTCTAAAATTAATGCAAAGAGCAACTGTGCTGCCTAGTAGAAAAGTTGCCTACCATGATGAAAATGAAACAGTTCAAATGCGTCTATATAAATCTCTTAAAGTATGGTCAATGTATGCAGATTTAGAAGAAAGCTTTGGTACATACAAGTCCTGCAAGGCTGTCTACGATCACATCATTGATTTGAAAATAGCAACACCACAGATTATTATAAACTATGGCTTGTTTCTAGAAGAACATAACTACTTTGAAGAGGCATTCAGAGCTTATGAAAAAGGAATTGCGCTTTTTAAATGGCCTAATGTGTATGACATATGGAATACATATTTAACTAAGTTTTTAAAGAGATATGGAGGAAGTAAGCTTGAAAGAGCTAGAGATCTGTTTGAACAATGTTTAGAAAATTGTCCACCTGAATTTGCAAAATCCATATTTTTATTATATGCAAAGTTAGAAGAAGAACACGGGTTAGCAAGACATGCTATGTCAGTATATGAGCGTGCTACAACTGCTGTCCTACCAGAACAGATGTTTGAAATGTTTAACATCTACATAAAGAAAGCTGCCGAAATATATGGTGTTCCAAAAACACGCCAAATATATGAAAAAGCCATAGAAACCTTAGCTGAAGGAAACTCAAGAGAAATGTGCGTACGCTTTGCAGAAATGGAAACCCGTCTAGGCGAAATAGATAGAGCTAGGGCAATTTATGCCCACTGTAGTCAAATGTGTGATCCTAGGATTACAGCAGAATTCTGGAACACTTGGAAAGAGTTTGAAGTTAGACATGGTAATGAAGATACTATGCGTGAAATGTTAAGAATAAAGAGAAGTGTGCAAGCCACATACAATACACAGGTCAATATGATGTCTGCACAAATGCTAAGTTCTGCAGCACAAGCAGCAGGCACTGTGTCTGATTTAGCCCCAGGAATGAAAGATGGTATGAGAATGTTAGAAGCTAAAGCAGCAGAAATGGCAGTCCATAGTAAAGGAAATATTATGTTTGTTAGAGGAGAAACCCAAGGCCTTAAGGATAGTTCTGATAAAGTTGTGAACCCTGATGAAATTGACATTGACGAGGCATCAGAAAACAGTGAAGAGGAAGATGAAAGTGAAATAGCACCAGTGGAAAAGAAAGAAATTCCAGCTGCAGTTTTTGGTGGTTTGTTGCCAGAAAAAGAATAAAATATAATATTTTCCATAAGACAAATAAAAGTTTAACTAATAACTTTCTTTTATTTTAATTAAGTATATACATGTAAGGTCAGGTAATATATACATTATTTACCAGATACTTTTTAATTCAGATTTTTGCAATTGTATGAATTAAACATTAGTGTCAATATTTTTTTTGTAAATATACAAGGCCAAAACTTTTTTTCTGATTGACACAATCCTTGCAAGCTATACTTTGGGTTATAGTAAATTTGGATAGTGCATTTAAGCTTATAATTTGATTATTTTCTTTAGCTCCACTACTAATTTTATAAATAGGCCATCAAGCTTGTGATTTGGAAATACCTTAAACACATTCATATAACGTCTCGTGGTGGCATAATAAAATGAATAGAATTTGAATACACCTGTTGCTGTTCAATGTAATTTGGAACACTTATATCATTATGTACACCACCAAACATTATAAGTTCTCCATTGCCTTTAACTAAAGAATACATCACTAGTTCTTCAGGTGCTCCATTAATCTCTCCCAATCGTGGACACAACCAAGAGACATAATTCATGGAATTTCCATTGACTACTGTCGAAATGTCTAATACATGCATAGTTAAAGTGTTACGCTTAATTTTTTTAACTGCTGGTTGTCTTTGAGGTTGGTTGCCATGTTGATCATCCTCACCATTTCTGGCCTCTAATCTTTCTAAATGAGCAATCTGTCTTTGATTGATTAGATCGTTTTCGGGTGGTGGGTCATTCTGAGCAGCATCACAAGCAAAAGCTGCCATCCTATATTTATTTGCTTCTTGTAATTGTCGAACAATTTTCATTCCTTTATTCTGCAATGAGCGACAAATAAAATTATTATGTTAAATAACTTGTTAATTTTACAAGATTAATATAAGATGACCAACCTTATTCCTCCTTAATGTGGACTCTTTTTTATTATGATCAAAATCACTAGATAATAATGGTTTTGGATTTAAAATAGGAGATAAGTTATTTTGAGCACCATTGTCTATATTCCTATTTTGATTGTTACTTGGACCAGCTACTGGCTGACCCGGAGGATTAAGCTGGTTCTCTCTATGTGATAGTTGTCGTGGCAAGACACCACGCCTTCCATTAATATTTTGATCCCTGTCTATAGGCCTTTGTAAACTTTGTTCAACTCTTACAGAGACTGGTGCACCTTCTGGTCTGCTAAAATTTGATAATCTTACTGCTGATGTAACCATAGGTTTAGCTGTATTCCATCCATTTCTACTTCTACTTAAACTGACCACTTTATCTCCAACTTTGCAAGCAGGGTTACACCAAATATTTGCGGAAGCCCACTCTTTATTTCTAACAGCTATTTCTTTCCATGTCCATGTTGGACCTTTCATTGTTAATATCCAACAATCACTATACACAAATCGATTTTGTAGTGTTTGAACCCCACCTAACAACATTAATCTATCACTATCAAGTCTAATCATGGATTGGGCATATCGGGGAGGTGGCCTTGGTTTTGTTGTAGGCTGTTTTCTCCATGTGAATGTAGTAATATCAAATACCCAAACATCATTTGAGCATTGAATTTGAAAGTTTTGTACCGCTGACATAACCAGCCCTCCAAATACAATCATTTCATCACCTCTAATGCATGCAGAATGTCCAGCCATTGGTGGTGGGGCATTAGCTGCACTTATAAGCATCCATTTATGTGTGTTCACACAGTAAAAATGTACATCATTGAACATTGTGACATTTTGGTAGTACTGTGAAAGTGATGGATAAGTCCAACCTCCGAAAACAATTAACCAGGCTTTATAATTAACCATTGTCGTATATGCCTTTGGAACAGGGTATGTTCCAGTTGCCAGAGGTCTAATCCATTGCCTCATAGATAGATCGAACCTCCATAAATCATTAAATGATGTAGCATTTGTTGTACATCCACCAAATACATACATATTATTTTCCAAGACACAAGCAGCATGAGAAAATCTTTTAGTAATAGTGGGTACAACATCAGTAGAAACAATATTTTTCCATAGAATATTAAAATCACCAACAGCCTTTACCAATTTAATTGATGTTTTTCGTAAGACATCTGTAAAAAAAATATACCAAATAGTAATTTTATAGATATTGTCAGAAAAAGGAAAACATTGTGCTGTCCTTACTTTGGGCACAGTCACACCATCTTCTACAAACAGACATACAATTCTGTAAATCTTTGTATGGTGGCAAAAAAACCTAAAATAAATTCAAGGACTTCATCAGGTAGATCTTCAATGCCAATTTGTAGAGACTGTAACTTCAGGGATTCATGTATTATTTCCATTTCAATAGTCCAGACGGAAGCATCAGAAGTACAGAAGTGTATTACAATAATATCAGCCTAGCTAGTGGTACGACTGACGGTAAATGAATACCATGATTTATCAGCTGCGCATAATAATATATATTTATCAAAACCATTAATTTGATTCAAGCAAGATATTTAATATATAAAAACTTCAGTTATTGCTGAAAATTTAAATAAATTGTATCACTTTTTCGAACTATAACTCTCGGAGGGATAATCTTTCATAGGTTTTAGTACAAGTCGACGCACCATAATATTTTCTATTAAGTTTTAGACAGTTCTCAAATTAATTATAAGATCGAAGAAATTTGAGATATCTAGTAAAATATTATAATTTTTGTTTTCATTGTTTAATATATGTATTTAAATACAGACTAAGTAGATAAGAATATGTCTTTTAATTTCTTACTTCTCTGTATCTCTATTATCTATACTGAATAGTATATCAATTGAACATTATATGTTAAGATGTCAACTTCTGTCAGAAGTCAGAACTCAGCAGTCAGATTTGTGATTAGTGATTTACCAGAGCAACCAATTCCGGGAAATTTAAGTAAACAAATCTTATGTCACCTTAACATCTGCACTAAACTGTATAATTAATAAGGAGAGTTTAAAAAATAGGATGAATAGCACTAATGCAGTAGAGTAAACATCAAATATATCTAAGTTTAACTTACTAATTCAAGATAACCTTAACCTGGAACTTTGAGATCAACACAAAACTCATTTGTGATACAAGGTCGAACCGTGTGTGTAAATAGGTGTAATAATGCAGCATATTATTCAAGCCAGTCCATTAATGGACAAAATAAAACAATTTCAACAGACATTATCATTCAGAATACAACTTACCACTTCACAAAAGGTATGTAAATTAATTGATTTACTACTTTGTGCTTTTTACTACTACAAAAGTATTAATAATTAGTTTGTATCATAATTAAATTATAACTATATAGTATATTATAAACACATTTGTGAATAGAATCTTATCAAAAAAGAAATCAAGTTTCAAAATATTAAGACTAAGACTGTTAGTCTTAGTCTTATTTTGACTAAAAACCAGTTTTTTAATATTTTTTTTGGAATGATTTAATTGGTTTTATGTTTGTAAGCTACATATAATTGATTTTTAGGTGATTTTGTGGAGTATTGGGGTAGTTGGTACAAGTGCAGTTGTGGTAGGGGTATTATCAAGATATTTAGCTCGGAAGAGAGCCAAACCAATCTTCAATCCCAGAATCCAAAGGGCTATTAACAAAAGATTATCAAGGATGCGAAGTCCTAATGGAGGTAAATGCATTTTGATTTTACAATTAATATTTTCTTTAATTAAATTATTCTTATATGAATATTTAATTTAGGTATGGGGTCAGTCGCTAGCAGTGGTGGCAGAAGTAGCCCATTAGGCTTCAGTGAGCGGTTGTCCATGGCTTCAGGTTCAATTGGTTCTGGAGGGGGCGATGCTGCCCCATTATCTCCTCAGCAGCTTGGTGTTATGGGTGAGTTTAGTATTAATATTTGACTATTCTTTATTGTAGATTTGTGTACTTTATGCATGAATCTTTAAATGACAAATTTCCCTATATGTATTTATGTAATTTTTTATTTAGGTTTAACTTTCAAGAATAATATAACATTGTGGTTATACTTGTTGTGGTAAATTTTTAAGCGCCATCTTTTGGCAAATAGAATATTTAATATTCCAAGGCTGACAATTTGATTCCTAAAAAAATGAATTCTCGAGTCAGATTCAAATATTTAATAATTATTCATGGAGGTGAGGTTATGATATATTTTTAACAGCGCCATCTTTTGTTCAATAGCAGAACTCGATTTTCACTAAAGTTTATTATAGTATGACGCGTAAAGTATAGATTGCGCTGATAGGCAATTTTTATCTAATAACTAATTTATTAAGAAAAGTGTCATTTATAAATTTGTTGATGGATGTACAAGTACCACCTACCTATCTATAATTCTTGATAACAGTTTTTAACCGACTCTCCTTTTTAAATACTATGATATTTATCTTATAGCTTATACCTATGATGTGCAAGTCTCCTTGTGAATTGTATTGGATAATATTGCAATTAATACGCTCGGAGTATGGCCACTCTTTACATCTTACATTTATTTACATATCTATCTAACTAGATGCAACTCTAGGAATACCTTTATCTTCAATTGTTTTGCAGATATCTCGAATTCTAGTCTATAAGCTGAAATTTATATTGTGTGTCATCAGTGTAGGCCAATATGAATATTCGTATATTATAAATATTGCCGTTAATATATCGGTAAGTACCCCCCAATGGGACACGAGGCGGACATATATCTTCTTCTGCTACATTAATTACGTTTTCGTTATAAGTCAGCGTTCGTGACGTCAACGATTATTAGTTTTTGTAGACATGCCGGAAATATTTTATTTCACCGTTCGACCAGGTAGGTAATTGCGCACATAGAAAGAAATGTCACTGCCATGATTCCAATCCTCGACCTTGAGAGTTGTGCTTTACCATTATTAGGTATTTTATTGGGTTTAAATGCCGTTGAAGCACGCTGAAACAATATGTCTTTGTCTAGAATTCAATGTTCATATTAACCTACTAAAACATGAATTAATATCAACATCACGTACCACGAGGGTCTTCTTTATCTCGTGCGCACGGTATAATAATATCTTATTAAAACTGCCTTTAAAGTCTGTAAGTACTCAGTACTTTATGAATATCTTCTAATTATAACCCTACGAAAATATCTTCAATACTAGAAATGAATCCTATGGTCAAATTAAGAGGTGCCATCTATCTTCTTGTATTAGTTAGTACCAGGGCTATTAGACGCTTAGACAGATTGTAATAGTGTATTGTATTAAGTGTACACTATATATAATTACTAGCTGACCCACACAAACGTTTATTTGCCATGTATGTTATTTCTAGGAAACATTTTTTTAGTTCAATAAAAATAACTACTAGCTACTATAATAAAATATAGGGGTTGAAAAATTAGGGTTAAATTAAACAAAGCCAAAAATTCACTTTTTAACAATACAAAGCTTAAATTAAAAAAAAAATTTTTAACAATATAAAAAGATTTTTACATACAGCTTTATGTTTGCGATAAATGATGCGTTGCGTTGGTTATTCATTGGTATTTTGCCTATTACGCATGTCAGCAGTGATGATGACATACTCGATTTTAATTCGGGGGTCACATTGCACCTTCGTCTTTTATTTTTGACGACAATATGTCATTATAGATATGTATTTTATCCTTAGTTAATCTTCGTAAGTAATAATAATTGATCCTTATTTATATTAGCGGTTATAACCATTTTTCAAATAAATATAGCCTATGTTACTAATTAGGGATAATATAGAATTCTAATGGTGATTTTGAGTGAGTTAGGTTAAAGACGTTTATTCATATTGAAAAACTATAATTCAACAAACAAAAATCGCAGGCATCTTTGAAATGAGCCTATTATTATTGTGATCTCAGTATAATTATGTCATAAAAAATTGAGAAATCCTGCTGCACAAAGTGTAATGAGTAAGATAAACATAAAATATTATTTATAAACATGTGCTTGATTGAAATTATTTGAGACTAAAGTATTAGATGTCACTTTCATAAAAACTTTGCATTTGCTACTAAACTATTATAAAATTATAATAATTCTTAAAGCCGAATTTAATTACGAAACAGTGGCTCGGAATTAGTTTTATGACATAAATTTCATCAACAATTTACGTGTAAATTTACAGTTTCATAATGCATGCATCGGTTTCGCGACACTGGATAAATTTCGTGCCATGCGCATATTTTTTGTAAAACTAATGTCACGCAACTACTTTACGATGAAAACGCGACACGAAACTAGTGTCGCGAAAGAATTATTTCACAGGGCAGACGTGTGTGTTTGAGTCATCGGCAGCTAAATGACCGCCAAAATGGCAAACCAACGTTGGTCAGTTGATAAAAATATAATTTTCGAATTTTATATATAACATCTGTACCACGACGTTCTGCATCGCAAAATGAAGCTTTGATGTTGACAGAGCCATGTCGTTGGTATACTGTTGATTTCACGACACTATTATTTTTTGTTAAAGTAGTTTCACAGTGCTGCAACTATTTTCATGAAACTCATTCCAACATGCATAACACTAGTTTCGTAATGTAAATTCGGCTTAACTATAACAGCTATGTGTTTGGATCATGAAATTCGTTGTCTTAGTATGTGGCTCGTTGGTCTAGGGGTATGATTCTCGCTTTGGGTGCGAGAGGTCCCGGGTTCAAATCCCGGACGAGCCCGATTTTCTTTTACACTTTTTTTGATTAATGCAATTTTTATTATTAGTATAATTATGTATTTTAAGTATTCACGATTTAGGTGAAGTTTTTAAAACTTTTACTTTAATTGAATAAAATTATTTCCTCGTATTTTATTTTTTATGTTTAAAAAAAATCATACGCAAATGTAAAAATACTTAATAATATCAAAAAATGTTTCAAATGTTACTTGGTTAATAATAACCATATTAAAGTTTGCTACAATCCGCTTTTATTATAGTTAGGAGGCGAATAGGGGAATTTTCTGTAATACTCGAGCGTGGCAGTTTAAGATATGAGAGATACCTTAGACCTATTAGAACAACCTTGTAAAGTATTTAGCTCTATATGTAGTGACCGCGCTCCTAGGATTGACGATCAGATTAGTAAAAAAAAAATCGATAGTCTGAAATACTCGAGCGCGTCAGATTAAGATATTGGGGGTTGATTTTAGTGTTTTAAGACTAAATTTAGCTAATCTGACGATAAGTCCTTGACGCCGCCGTGTTATAGGGTCGCGAACTTGTAAAAAAAAACGTTAATCCGGCATTCTCGAGCGCGATTTTAATATTTTTTATTTTGAAGAATATAAGCTTAAACTTACTAAAAATACAAAATCTGCCGGTTTCCGCATGACCGGAAGTGTGGAGGAGCCATTTCGTCTTCCGAAAAACGCGTTGCGGCATGTAAGTCGCGAACGATACATTTTACAAAAGAAAAGTTTAAATAAACAAAAAAGGTAATTTTACTCTACACAAAAAAGGTCTCTTTACATTTTTGTCCAAAGTTAAAACTTTTTGACTTGAAGCATCATAAAAGCTCAAACTCCCGGTTTTTTGAGTATATCTCGAAAACTGAGGGTGTTAAAAAAATTGATATGAAATAACGATGATTAAATTATGTGACTTTTATTATATCTCAAAAATCTTAATTTTTTTTTTGTGGACTCGGAAAAAGTTACGCGTATCTGTATATAAAAGTATTATCAACATGTACAGTTTCATGTATGTATATTATTCAATAGCCTGTTGATCCTCAAATTGTTTTTTGGACGTACCGTAAGCAAAACGGAGTGAAGAATTGAAGCAAAAAAGAGGAATTTGCCATAAACATTGCCGTAAAACAGACTGAGCGCTTCGCGGAAACATGCCGTCCTACCAGTATTTTTCCTTTATTCCGCAACATTGATGGTGGGGAAAGAAGAAAAAAGAAACCAAAAAAACTTTTTCGGTCACATTAAGAGAACCCACCAACATTTTCGTCAGATTAAGAAAATATCCTTTCAGATACCGAGATAAACCTCCCTATGAAAATCTACGCCTCGAGTATTTAAAAAAACTTTTTTTTTTTTTTTCAAAAATTCATCGTAACTTATCGCCACGCCGAAATCGTTGTTTTTTCAAAGGCAGCTTCCTTGGGGCCTACTTAACACCCCTTCCGAAAATCTGACGCGCTCGAGTAATTTTTTTTTTTGCATTTTTGACTACTTTATATGTCTACCCCCACCACGCAAACCGGCAGATTAGTATACCGTTTTTTACAGAGGCACTTGGGGCATACGTAGTATGAATATCTGACGCGCTCGAGAATGCCCAAGTAACTGTTTTTTTTAACATTTTTGAAAAACCGTACACGCCAAACCCACCGCTAAAATGGATTTTACCATACGAGATTTTCTTTTCGAAATTATTTTATCTTTCGATTTTGATAGGTCTCGACGGCGCCGTTGAATTACGCCATTTAGCTACCTCGCCTCCCTAACTATTAGCTTGATAACTTCAAATGCTAATTTACTGTTTTGTGTCATAAATATTCTTTACATAATATCATGTATAATATCTTTATAGCTTTTGAAATTATACCAAAATTTCAACTTTAAAGTCAATCGGCTCGTTGGTCTAGGGGTATGATTTTCGCTTAGGGTGCGAGAGGTCCCGGGTTCAAATCCCGGACGAGCCCGGATTATCTTTTTATTTTTCTTATATTTCATTATGTGATTTAATAAATACGCTCTGCAATATGTGGTGCCAAAAACCTTGCATAGTTTAATTTTTCTTTAACGTACACGCTGAGTTGTTGATTCCTTTGATTGCGCGTTAGTAAACAGTGGGGAAATCTCGGCTGACTGGCCCCTTTTCGTCCCTTCATGCACCGGGAATAATTTAAGTGGTTCCTTTGAGCTGGTTTTAGCTAAAATATGTCCTCGGGATGAGAAACGCTTCCAGTCAAAAGATAACCTACATGGCCTCAGGCTTTGTAATTATTTGCTCCTGTAATGTCTCATAACGGGTTTGTTTATTTGTCTTTAAATACGCAGAATGAAAACGTATTTTTTGTGTGGCAGTTGGCACATATCAGAACATATTATCTCATCATCTTCATTTGACAGTCTTTTTTTCTAACAATGTTAGTAGGTTGATAAGCCTTCTGTGCTTTCTAAACTAATGTATTTTTTTAATGATTGTTTATGGGGAATGTAATGTGAAGCAAGTGATGAACTGAGCTAACACGTCCAAAATAGTGAATTATTAGGCGAAATTTTCAAATATCGATCCGCGCCATATTAAACCGTCGAGGTAGTTTTTAATATAAATAGTTGTAAAATGGTGATGCCTTTTAATAAAGGTTTTTATTCTAGAATATTAAGAACCGGTTTAAATTATCTAGATTAGTTAGTACTTTAGTGCCGCGCGTACTGAGAACAAAATAATAGATAAAGTCTTGCCCGATTCTCTTACTTAATTATACACTGTTGATTTTCCGCTCTTAGTATTCAAGTACCGTTAACGTTAGCATAATTTTTTTACATTTTCCTCAACTATTTAACGGTTGATAACTAAATTTGCTCAACTACGTATATATTGAAGGTTCTTTCGTTTTTAATTTCATATGCCCTCGAAGTCCTTAAAAATATATATCTATCACTCTAGTAGTGCCCTATTTTCGCATCACTCTCATATGAATAAATCAGTTGAGAAAGCGTCACACTCTAAGATGAAATATACATGAAATATATAACGCGCGTCTTCTCGGATCTATATTAGATGTATACTGGTTATTATTATTATTAAAGCTTTATTAATTCATCCATAAAACAATTGGCTAGTTTACATTTCTTAATATTAGTATAAGTTGTGTTAGTATAAGTTTTGAAATTATTAAGATTATTATTATTATTATATATTATAATTTTTATGGCCCCTTTTAGGGTAAAAGCCTCCTCCATATTTTTCCATTTCTCTTGAGCAACATTCATCCAGTTTTTTCCCGCTAGTTCTATAATGTCATCTGTCCATCTTTTCTTTTGTCGTCCTATACATCTCTTTCCAGTAGGTCCAGTCCATTTTGTTATTTCTAATGTCCATCTTTTATCAGTATCATGTATACAGGTTCAGGTATCATGTATTCATTCATTTTTAAGGCTTTAAAGGTCAACAAATGCCAATGTCGTGCTATTTAGGCAATCGTCAATAAGGATTATTTTACTACCTCGCTAAAGGCTGCCAAATGAAAGAGCGATGTAACCTTTACTCTTTATTATGTTTTTTTATTTTTTTAATACGTAAATTTATATACGTTCACGTTAGTGTAAGCCTTATCATGTTTTGTCCTTGTCACTTTTATAACACTATAAATGTAGATAAGCGTGACAAAACATTATTAATTTGAGGCGTGTTCATTTGTTAATAAGATAGTGTTCGCTATACAATATCTAGGCTTGGAAAATTATATTGGAAATAATAGCATCAAATTTTTACGAAGGTTATTTGTACGCTAGTAATAAGTTGTAATAGGATCATGGACAAGACTTCGTCTGGGGGCAATAGGCGGCAATAGTAAAGTTATCTTCCAATGTTCAAACTGACTAAATTTGTATTCTAAGAGCGATCTTACTGGCTGTAAAAATTAAAGGCAATTTTTACATGATAGTGAATTTAAACATCTTTAGCGGCAAACATTTCAAGGTTAACATGTTATTTCAATAGACTCTAATTGTAATATCAAATAGCTCATAGTCAACTTGTTGTGGCAGTTTCTCGTTGACAACGACTGCTAAGAAGCACTCGCTGCAAATAAGTTTTATCCGTGGCCGTGTAGAACGGATGAATGATATACAAGGCAACAGTGGAAGGTGAAGCCGGGTTAGACTAAATCCAGGAAGTGCTAGGAAGGATAAATTAAAAGTTCCGAGGAGCATAGTGAATATCATGAAAGTGGATGAAGCGAGAGAGATATGTCAGGCCCGAAGCAAGTAGAGATTTATTTATTTTACTTATTCACATATCATTACATTTATACAAAACTAATAGCATAATACATAAAAATTATAAGGGATGCAACGGGCGGCCTTATCGGTAACAAGCGTTCTCTTCCAGGCAACCCTAGTAAGGGAAAACTAAAGAAAGAAATGTGATGGATAAAGTGCAAGAAGTGCATAACCAAGTCTTATAAAAAAGATGTTATAGAACCTTAATGTAAATTAATACAAAAAGATAATTTATAAAATAAAATCTGTGGTCTACTCCTTCGGGAAAAAGGCGTGAATATATAAAAAATAAATAAAAAAAAGAAGTTTCATATCGATCTGTACTGGTATACATGTCAAATCATTTTGCACTTTCACTTTGAATGCCTTGTGATTAGTACAGCTAACGGCCTTTTTTGTTTATTTGTATAGCAATACATTAAGTATACAGTAAAGTATGGAACATTTAAAGGTAAGAGTCGACGTCATACGTTTTTAACAATTGGGAGTCATACGTAGCGCCCCACTTCCACGCGCAAATCCAACGTAATATAGTGCGTACGTAAGTATCGTATGTTTAATTCAAATATACAACGGTGGTAGCGTTTAATACATCAAGCTCATGGCAGAACTACTAGCTTATAAATTATGTATTGATATTTGTATTTCACCTCCCTAGAGTATAAAATACTTTTGGATTGTAAACAGCCTCACGCGTATAGCCTTGTACGTGACATTTTCACGATTTCTTCGCATTTTATACCGGATTAAAATTTTATAGGATCACTGTTTTTAAATGAACAAACTGTTTTTTAAGTTAAATTTGACCAAGTTAATGCAAAACAATTAAAATTCTCGGTTCCTATTTTTATTATGTATAAAGTTGTTTAGTCCCGTAAATGTAATTCGTTTTAAGTAAATTTTTTTCTTAAAATGTTATATCAATAAGTGTTTTAGCATAAACTGTTGTATGCCTTTAATTACATAGCTTTTTATAAACAACTATTAGCCGTTGTTAGTGGGGAAGTGTAACTATTGATCACAAGACCCCCACAACGATGTCTTTACTGGAAAAGTAATGTTTTAAATCGGTGCATTAGTTCCAGTCTTTCTACTAAAAAACTTCATTATGTTTCGGTGTAGATTTCATACTAATTTTAAATGCAGTAAAAACCCTCTTTCCTCGCAGTAAACAAACGTATTTAAATTGTCAATAAAACACATTAACATATTAATTACACTTTAATGGTTAAAACAAAACTTACATGGAACATCACATATGCTTCGCGAAACAATAATTGATGTCATGAGATTCATATATCTACTTATACAGTATTAACAAATATCTTAAAGTTATGAAACAGCTTCTATCTAAAATTTCAAGCATAGTACTTCTAATAAAGGCAATACGTAATTTACACCGACGAGACAAAATGAGGGTACGCACTAGACGGTAGCTTGCTTAGTATTCGTAGGCTAGTGTTGTACTGCGCTATCCGATATGAAATCATTGATCTGTCAATTGTTGGGCACAAAATGTATTGACCCTCGAAAATGTTGATGGTTATATCATTATGGGACATCCTACGAGTGGTTCCATAAAATCAACCTACCCGGTCAGTGCGTACATATTATGGTAATTCTAGGGCTAAGCAAAATTTGAACTTGGAACACACTTTCGCATCAAATACGCATACAAATTAACTCTAAACTTAGGGCGTATTACTCTAGGTGGGATAATGATTACTACAATAAAGTGAGATTCTGATCCTAATAACTATGAAAGATGCGGCAAAATACTGAAAATAGCTATTTAAAACAATATACATATGAAATGAGTTGACTTAATCTATTTCCTCATACAAAAATATCATTCATTTTCTTTACACATACAAAAGAAATAGCTAAGCATTATATAGGTATATCGTTATAATACAAATTGTTTTTATTTTAGGTGTAGGAAATATATTTTTGATATATTTGATCTAAGAAGCTAGTGATATCTATTGGAAGGTTTCACTTTGGTTTTTTATTATATAGAAATAATTGAAATAAAACATGAAATAAATCAATGATGATTCAATATAATCCATGCTAATCACGATTAATGGTCACGATTTCTAAAAATCCAAAGTAATTCATATCATAACCCATTTAAATATATCACTATTTAATTGCGTAATCAAATGATAAATAAATTAAATACATAATCCTTAAAATCTAATAAACTTTTAGTTGAATAAAAATTAACCTAAACTATTATATCGGTGAATTTAATAACAAGTTTTGTGTTCAGAACCGAAAAAAACAAAAGTTTCCATTTCGGAAAAGACAAGCTATTGAAGTCCAGTTTTTGTAGCTACTCTAAAAGTCAAAACACACATTTTAATAATAATTTAACGTAAATAAATAATTATCTAAACATAAAACCATAATGGTGCAACAAATTTTTTGTCATAGATCTTATGTTCGGACACCGCGAGCAATATAACGAGTGTTAAGGTCGCTCTGCGACTAAACATTTAACTATTTACATAATCTATTTACATACATACGTGTTTGGCTCTTTGTAACATTGGAATGGATATAATCATTTACCAGGAATGTATAATCTCAAGCGAATAATCTATGTACACGGTTTTCTCAATAGTTGGCCTCGCGACCTAAAACGATATCATAAGGTACGTTTATAATACTTTAATTTTTAAGGTATAGTTGGGAATATTTGATATATCGATTTTATGTACAAGCTAATTGAAACTTAAAGTAACAACGCGAATGGAATTAGCAGTGCAATAGAAGTGACCCTTATCTTGAAACCAGAGTTTGGATGGCTTCCTAAACCACCAACGACGGATCTGTTGATGTCTTCTTTTTCTGGTGGCCCTTTTACCATATCTTCGCTGCTGTCTTCTAAAATACTGTTGCTGTCCATGATCATGCCGATGTCGTTCTTTTCCACCGATGGTGGGAGGGGTGGTAGAACTGTTGTCGTCGTCGTTGTTGTTGTAGTGGTTGTAGTTGTTGTAGTTGTAGTTGGCACCAATGTGTTGTTAGACATGTAGTAAATTTCGCCATAAACAGCCTCAACCTCCACGGTGTTTTCAATCCGCTCACCACGAATGTGTCTAGATCGAGCGTTATTGTCTTTATAGTATGTTGTGAGTTTAGCGGTATACTGAACATCACGATCCGTAGTGTTACCCCTGAAGCTAACGTTGCAAGCTGTGCCAGGTTCCAAGAATATCTGAAGTGTGTACAGCTCTTTCTTCTCCTCTTTGTAGGGGTTGGCCCATTCAATTTGTGGAAATTGAGTTCCGTCGCTCATTTCTATTGTCGTGTTGAGCCCGATTGCTATTCCGTGCCCGTGACCCCAGGATAATGTGTAGTTGAATTTGTATTCTATTTCCGTTGTTACTGTTGCAGCGACGTCGTCATCATTTCTCAAGAGTCTTTCTTCAAAGACTTGTGGGTCCGACTGTCGTACATGTTGTGTATGTAAGTCGAGTTCCACGTTATCCAATTTGTAACTAACCGGTTCTACTTCGATTAGAATTTCACCATTATTTTCCACTAATTCGTTATTTTCTTCATCAAATGATATAAGTTCGCCAACCGTGCTTTCGTAGTTAATTCTTCCGATATTGTGTGAATAACCAATGTTTGCCTTAATTCTTCCAACAAAAGTGGTATCGAGTGAAGAATCCACTGCAACAGCGCCGCTTGGTTTTGAGTTAAATTTGTACCAAGGCGTCCATATAATTAACGAGGCGTTTTCAATGTTCTCCATGACTTCGAATATGGTGTAGCTTTTGGTCCCCGAAACTGCGCAGGAGTTGTAATCGGGTCTTAACTGCCCAATCAACATGTCGCCTTCATGTCTTGTTCTGCAGAGGTATATGGGCTCACCTAGAAAACAAGCAATTATTATTTAAAGTTCAATCTCTTAGACTTAATCGGTCTTATTATAAAACGTAGACTAAAGTTGGTATGGTTTTCATTATTTTGCATTGAAATAACTTCATAATCATGGTAACAAATCTGGTGGTACTAATTTAAAACCAAGTTTCATAATAAATAAAAATGGCTTTTGTAAAAAATATTTTAAAAAGACCATAATTAAAATAATGTGAAACATAAAACATATTTAAAAGTAAATGTAGTATAAAAAAAACAGATTGACTTGTTTCAATTGATAAACCAATTTCTTTGAATCTTTCTCCTACTATAGATATTATTCAAAAGACAAAAACCTTATTGTACGCAAATTTTACGCAGAAGAAATAACGGGTTAATCTAGAGAATAATGTGTGTACCTGATTCTGTAATTGCCCCGATAACATAATTTTCCATGGCTTCATTCTTCAAGTTGGCCCATTTAAGCGTGCTGGAGGTGACGATTTGTTTTAGTCTAGCGTTAAATAGACCAACCCCAGCCTCACTAAGGACGGGAGCAGCCAAGGTCGTTACCAGTAGCAAAACCCAAAATCCACTTGAATAACTTCTAGTTCTCTCCATGATTGCAATCTGTGGACAAAGAACAAAAATGGAATTATATTTTTAGTAAAAAAACAAAGACCTATCTATGGAACAAAGTTTTTATATAATGTATGGGATACGTAAAACAAATACACTTCTGTTTCTGATGATTTTTAAGAGCTTGTGAGGTGAGAAATCTCCGCCAACTTATCTAAGGAGTACCATTTTGTTTAAAATTGGAACACGATAACTTCGTACAAACAAGCGGTAAATGTGGCCATGCGATCACTTGCAAACTCAATTTTCCTGACTGAATTACTGAAACAATTTTGCTCTGCGCTGGGGTGACGCTTTTCATAGAACATACGTATATCAATATACGCGGGTTGTTTGAGTTTGTCAATGCAATAGCGAGTTTGTTATACTAATGACAGAACTTTAATGCATTTTGTATGTAAATTGAAGTTTTTTGAAATTACGGTCATCTGGACTTAAACAGAGTAAGTTACACAGTTTTTTTTGCCTTAGAACTTAAAAATTTAGGTATATTCTTGTCCTCTAAAAATTGTCCGTTCCTTCTACTGTATTAGCTGCTGCCTTGACATCCTATGCCTCTGTAAAGCAAACCGCATTCCACGAGATTTGTGATAGTAATTAAAAAGCAATGAGCTATGAATAAGCGGTGGTCAAATATAAATACGATGCAGTTATAGATGCCCTCTTTACCTTCTGGGGTGGACTGAATGGCGCCAAACAAATCGATTTTAAATGCTTACAGGTAACCCTTCTTGTTGCGTTTGAATAACCTTTATGGTTTTATGTCATAGATATATGAAAAAGCAACGATTGCCGAAGATATCACAAATGTTATCTGAAACGCAATGTTTCGTACCAAATAATAGTCAAGTGTTAAATTAAGCTAAGATAATAATAAATGAGAAGGAATATTGCGAAGTAAAAACAGATTTTTAGAAAAAGTAAATATAAACAAGGAAATAGTCTCGCGCCTTATCTACCCCAATAATTTATTATATCGCACGTAAATCAAGAGGGTTAGATTGAGATTTCGAAATCCTTCAGAAAAATAGGACTAAATAAAATAGAATTTCTTCTAGTAAAATTCTTCATGCTGCAGTATAGGATAAAATATTACAAGAAATCTTAAAAGTTTACTGATTTGGATGTCTAGAGTATATCTATCTAGACATATTTGTGTACTTATTTCCCTGTTTTTTTATAGAATTGCCATCGTTGCCTATCGAATTGTCGGTCGTGTCTTTCAAACTTTTGATGTAATTTTTCTTACGGAAATGGATCTCAGGTCCTTTGGGTAAAACGAAGCGGTTACAATATACGGAATATAGAGCATATTTAGAACTTAAAAATTTACTTTATATCATAAAAAACGACCTTAAAGTATTTTTACTATAAATTTTATTACGCAATACAAATTTGTTGCAATTAATTATCATTTTTATGTATGCTAATTTCATGGCCGTTGAGTTGTCGAACAAGTATGCTTAAACTAAGCTTTATTGACAGTCGTATTTAAATAATATGAGTATCAGTAATAATCTTAAATATTCCTAGGTATATTTGTATGTAAAAACTATAATTATTTTATTTATTTACCATCATCACCCATTGGCAAGTTATATCTTATATAACTTATCGAACTCATACACTAACTGAACCTTTTATCTTCTATATTTACCTAAATACCACCCTACATTTATAGAAGATACAAAACCGAACTGGGATGGGAGTGCCTAAAATGTAAATACAGCAGTGGGCACTGACGGCCGCACTGCGACCGAGCTTTTAAACAAATCGATGTTTCAATATTTGAAGAGGAAACTTTAGCCTTTACCGAATTTTACAAACGCACGCTCTCTCAGCTAATATTTCTTTTTTCCTATCCTTTTGAGGTAAATTGCTATTGCTTATACGTGTTCGCATACCACGGACTAAATAATGATTTAGTTAATGGTTTTATCTACTTTACAGATCACAAATTTCTACAATATTCTCAAATTCATTCTACGTATGTTTTCGTCACAGCGAAGTATGAATTTGACAAGATACGAAGGAGTACTTTAGTTAATAATACAATTAGACTAATTTATTTCTTATGAATGTGATAGGTTTTTGGAAAATGTATATTTAATATGAATTACCTTTATATAAAGACATTGACATAATAATTAATTTAAAAACGTATATGTAGTTGGCATTATTTAATTTTTTTTATAAACTAATTTGTTGTTTTATTCAGTACCTAGCGTCCTGTACAAGTTACTAATTGATTTAATTAAATTTAATTACATTTTTATAATTCCTTCCACAATATCTTAAAGTAGTTTTCCATACCGTACATATGTAGCATTCAATTACAAAGAACGTCATGTCATAGATATTGAAACTAATTTATTTAATTTAATTTAATAACTCCAATTGACACGGACCATTACATTTGACATAAATCCCAACGCCCCTGCGCCATTTGTTTTATCTTTATAAGCATGTTGTAGTGTTAAAGAATTTACATATTAAAATAAGAACGTTAAAATTTATATTATAATTGTATACGCGACACTTTTATTAAAAATAAATAGGCCTAAACGATCTAATAATTACATAGTGTCCTTGGAACCGTGTAATTAATTTAATTAAAACCTTTTTTAATATAGATAAACGCGTTTTTACTACATAACTCAACGATTAGAGCATTTTCGACATTGGTCTCGACATTCGAGCATTGGTGACATAAAGGACAGAACAACAAATTGACAGAGAAAATAAATAAATGATCAATAAGTTGTTATATTACAACGCATATCGATTAAAATTTTAATTTTACTTTTATAACGTTTAAGCAAGATTTTAGACTCTATATCAAGCTAAATAATATTTTGGGCAAAGGTTATCGTGAATTTCGACATTGACGTACGTATGTTTTGTTATTAAACTCAATATAAAAGTGCCGAGGGGCTATTTCTAAGAATGCGTGTCATCGCGGAAGGAAGTTCGGTTTAGCAGGTGTCCCATGTATTAATTACAAAAACAACAGTACATTCACAAAAAACTTATTAACCGCCTCCAGAGCACAGTAAAATTCTATTTGTTTATCTCAAAGTTCTTAGTTTTCTGAAAACAAGAAAATAAATTCGCTGCTCGGAGAGAGTCTGCTCCATATCCAGATATCAATTATTCAAATACATATACAGGTTACCGCTATATATGAATGTTAAATTATTTGCTGACCTATGCTTAGATATTTTTTTTATAGAACAGGGGGCAAACGGGCGGGAGGCTCATCTGATATTAAGTGATACCGCTGCATATGGACGTTTTCAATGGCAGATAGCTCGCGAGTACGTTGCCGGCCTTTTTAAAATTGATACAATCTTTTCTTGAAGGACTCTAAGTCGAATACTTTCGGAAATACTTCAGTAGGCAGCTGATGCAAAAAAACCGCTCAGTTGGAGAAACGAAGATTATTACAGTAGTAATATCGCTATAAAATCGTTCGTAGTATCTATCGTTGGTTTGGGTTACTTAGAGGTATACAAACGATCTATTCTCTGACCTCGAATTAGGCCGTTTCAGAGGAGTTTGGTTAAAACACTGTGACATGAGAATTTTATAAAGGTTTGATTCTTGCAAGTATAACGAGAGACTTATTATGAGACAGAGAAAAACGAAAAATTACAATACGCAAAAGAAAGTTCCCTGTATATGAGTGACATTGACGTGCTTATATATAGTGACATTGGCTCCGTGACTCCAACACAATACCCTTCAGCCCTTCGACAGACACTTGTCTAGCACTAGACGAGGGGAGCTTTCTATAAAACAAGAAAATCTCTTGTCGGTTTTCTCCCTAAGTCTATATTTCGCTAACCAAACAAAAATCCTGCATTAGGCAATTTGAGGGGGAATCGGAGGTACTAAGTTTTGCCAAATGAGGGTTTTATTGTCATGATTTATTTGGATGACATCATTATTGAATTTACTAGTAAAGTTTTACGATGCGACCCTAACACTGAAGGTCGTTTTTGTTGTGCGATATGCAAGGACAAAATTGTATTGCGTATGAATTCATCACATCACACAAATGTGCACCACAGACCGAAAATCGTTCCCTATTTGGAACTGGAGTATTGGTCTTAGTAGAAGTTTTGGAGTTCGACCTCCTTATGGACAGAGATCTGTCTATATAGACAAACATATATATATAGGTACATATGTATCATAATATTATACACTTCTTATTGATGTTTATAATAAATAACAATGTTTATACATTTATAATAACGGCTTGAGAGTTGAGGCTTCACAGAAATGATTTATCGCATGGCTCGAGGTGACAGATTTGGTTACGAACACACCATTGTACACCATTCGTCAACATCCATTCATGAACACAAAGACTCATCAGTCGCACTAATTAAGTACAGTTAGGGTTTATTTTCAGTTTGTGGCATATAAAATATCCGTATTACTTTCAGTTGCAGATAACTTGCTTTTTTTTGTAAATTAATTTACAATATGTTTTAAAAGACAACTTAATTGCTTTGTTACGAGTAACATTTGCTTATCAATATTTATATATACCAAACCATTCTCGAATTCACTTGGAAACACAAAACCTTTTAAAATCGGTTCAGTTGTTTAGGGGTTTAGTTACAAACACACGCACAGGATTTTTGATATATATAAGGATTAAGAACTTAGACATTTAAAATAAGGATAGACCACTCAAACACTGCCATTTTTTGGGATTTGAATCTCTGAGGTTAATTTTAAAATCTGTTACCATTAAATATTAACAAAAATGTCGCGTTTAAACTATAGTTGAAAGGTTTTAAGTGTTAAAATATAGAACTTGATTTGAGTATCTCGAATATGGAAATATTAAATTAATTCCTCTTAGATGCATTTAGAGCAGCCCTCTCCACACATTTACCGCTATCATTAATCCGATTAACATAGCGACCAATAATACGATTCTCGCCTGCTTATGTATCGGATTAGAA